ATATATGAAGGATGATGAAAAAATTTTTCAGAGTCTACTGGCCGTAATTGAAATAAATTTTTATATTGTAACTAGTTCAAACAGTGAAAATATTATTTACGAATAAAGGCAAAAACGTTATAGCCGGTATAAGAATCCCAGGGATTGTACTTGAAGTTGAATTTTGAAAATAATGGATACAAATATTTGGAAAAAATAATTAATTTCCTACTTGAATTTTTTTACCCGGAACATGGTATATTAAGTTTGCCACGAAGTTTGTAACATCCAGAAGGAAACGTAGGAGACCTTTAATTTAAAATTTAATGATATGTTAAATGATCAGCATAACGAGGTGAGTCGATTTAACGATGTCTATATAGCTGTCCATCCATCTGTCTGTCTGTATATATATAATATATATGTATATAGTCCCTCAGTTTTTGAGATATCGATCTGAAATTTTGCCACGTACTTTTATCCCCTGACGAGATATCTTCAAGAAATTAGGCATGGGTAATTGTTTAAAGCAATGGTGCAATCTCCGAAGAAATTGTTTAGATCGGTTCACTATAGCACATAGGTGTCATACGAACTGAATGCAAGCGAAGTTAACGATTTTTCTATTCTTGCAACATGTTGCTACATAGTACAATAGTTTTGTTCACTTAACGGTTGTTTGTATCACCTCAAACTAATCGAGTTATAAATAGTGTTATACATATATAAATGATCAAGATGAAAAGACGAGTTGAGTCCATCCGTCCGTCCGTTTGTGCAAGCTGTAGCTTAAGTAAAAATTGAGATATCTTAATGAAACTTGGTACACCTGTTTATGGGTTCCGTAAGGTTGGTATTGTAGATGGGAGTAATTGGACCATTGCCTGTCCACAAAATGCCACTAATCGAAAACCAATAAATTGCTATAACTCAGCTCCACAATAATATATAAGACTGTTATTTGCTATAAAGAATCACATTAGAGAATGGCATCTGCAGTTTAAAAATTTTGAAAACGTGAGCGTAGTCCTGTCCTCTAATAAGTTTAATGTACATATCTCCTTAATCGCTTAAGCTATAAAAACTGAATTCTCTCGAAACAAATATTTTTACCACATCTACCGACAGTGTGAAAATAAGTGAAATCGGATGATAACCCCGCCCACTCCCCATATAACGGTTTTGATTAAAACTAATAAAAGTGCGAAAACTCACTAACAAAAAGTCAAAGTCTTTAAATTTTAAACACAGGATGGTAAATATAAACTTTATAGGAGCCAATACATAAATGGAAGTGGCACCACCCACCTTCAGGTGAAAACCCAAATTTAAATTCCATCTGATTCTTTCCTGATGCTAGTACATCTGTATGTCAAAAATAGGTTAAATCGGGTCAATACTTCCCTTAATCGAACTTCTGGGTGTCGTTTTATGGCATATATCGGCCAATATGCGCTATCTCAATAAAAATCAGAGAGCGTGTTTTACTCATAAAAGTGAATTTACTCCATATGATTGGTATGTGCTGTACCATAATGAAGCCCTGGGAGCATTTTCTTAGTCTGTGGCATGTAAATAGTATATGGTATTGACAACAATTGATAAAATCGGATCAATAATACCCCCAACTAACATATAATGTTTTTCGTTTTTCTAACAAGTTTTATGCCTGTATACCGTTCAGGTTGGTCAAAATGTGATATTTTAATAAAATTAAATGCACAAGTTTTCTTCAAAATTATGTGGTTTGGCATTTCCCACATTAACTCAATATATATTTTGCCTTTTCGGTCAAGCTAATATCACATAAATATAAAAATATAGATAAAGAAAAAATTTGTTTGCATGTACTCCCTATTCTGTATTTGCAGTCGAGAAATCTTGTCACGCCCATGAATGTCATGGACTTCGTTAGAAAATATGGATGTAATTAATATTTCTTTTATTATTTTTGCAGGGAACGCAAATTATGACCGAGACGAAGTATGCGAACGATTGATTCAAAACAAAAAAAAGCAATCAATGCCTATCTTCAAGAAATAGTACCACTACCAATACTGTTATTAAATGAAGAGTCTTTCAGTAAACTAAAGAACATGTGTAATACTTTTAGAATGACGTCAGCCATTTCTAATGATCTTGTGCGACAGCAAAAAAAGATAAAGCTGTGGAAATTATGAAAGTGAACAATCTCTAGAGTCTTGAATCAGTCTAAGTCTCTAGTTAAGTCTTGGTGTCGTTTTGTTTTAAATTTCACGATATCTTCTTGATTTCACTGAAATGTTTTCTAAATTAGTGGGAATCTCTCGAAAAAAAACAAATTTTTAATGCATTTTATTGTATGGTGAGCGCACATAATTGAGAAATTTTAAAACTTATTATGACAAGTGTGAACAAATAAAAAGTCTAAGACGGAGTAAGAGTCCAAACATTAGTCTTCGGGAAACTCAAAAACGAATGGCATTGCAAAAATAATATATATTTTTGGTATCCATTCAATGCTGAAATTTCTGATCATTCCTTCTGCGTAACAACACCAACTATTCATATAGTATCGATTCCATTTTGGTTTTGAGCAGAACTTTCGTCGTTCTTAGGAAGAAAGCCTCACCACAGGCGCAAACCTCTGCAAAAGCAAAAAACCGACCAATGGCTTTTTGATTAACAAATGCTTAGCTTGTGCGGTTGAGACTTGAATCAACTGGAAAAACACATTTTTTCATGGGCGGAGGCTACACAAATAAAAAGCGAAATAATAATCCAATTTCTCGCCATTCATGCAAATATATCAACTTTTTTATTACCTTTATAAATGTGTGCAAATATTGAAAAAAGTTTTTTTTATTGCACACACACAATCAAATCCATCCGTACGGGCACAATATTGGATCGCTCTAGGCAAAGTTCACAAACACACACGCACGCACTCAGCTGCTCTCAAAATAAGGACTTCGAACACACACATTTGCATGTGTGTGTATCAGTGTATATGTGCACGGACATTTGATGAACTGGTTACTGCGAAGTCAGCTGCCTTCCTTAAGTTCGTACGCAGCCTCGGCGTTCCGTGTCAGCTCTAAGTGTTTTTAACCAGGCAAGGATTATATGTAAACTTTTGACATTTCCCTTTTATAACTATTCTCGTGCAGGGCAGGACGGAAAGTAACACATTTTCCACGCAATAAGCTCGCAGCATTGTTTTTGTTGTACTTACACCTCGTCACCTGCTCGCTCATGCATTGCTTGGTGAGTACGTGTGTGCTCGTGCGCCTGTGTCCTTTGGCGACATTCGCCTTGGAACTTCGCTGAAAGCCGTGATATGGGGCGGTGAATTCAACTACGCCGGGGCAGACGGAGTAGAATCTCGAGGTGAAAGCAACAAAACACATGTGCACACATACATACATACTCTACGTGGATAAATGCTTTCGTAAAGTTTTACTCAAGCCGACGTTTGAATTTTCATTACTCGAATTTCGCCTGCTTCTGCTTTCCGCATCTCTCAGCCATCTACTCGCTTGCTATAGACTGTTTCCTATATAAATTTCGCAGTAAAGGTGGCTTCTTGAGAAGCCTAGCTCATTGATATTGAAAATGTACATCTATTTTTGGTACACATTTAGTTTTAATTACAAAAATTTACTTTAAAAACGCTATTTTGAATTTCAAATTTTCCAGGATCTATTATAAGCATGATGTAGTGGAAACTCCGATTTTAACATGCAATTTTTAAGCTTCGATTTCTCTCCACTGCCCTTTGCCTACGAATCAAAATACTGCAATATTCACTTTATTATTATAATGCCTTCTAGATGCCTAATTCGTACGCTTAGTGTCCTATATAAGTATCGGTATGAAGTCGATGACTAATGCACTCTGCAGCTCAACTTTAGTCGAAAACAATATTACGCAATATACCCCCACGTATTCACGTCCACAAAATTCTAAAAATATTGTTTACTATTTATAACCATAAACAAGTAACTTTATATAAATCCGCGCCACTTGCTCACACAAATCTTCCTGTAAGCAATGTCACTAATATAAATATTAGAATGCGCGTGTGCATATGTGTGTGAGTGGGATGTATGAGTTTGTGGGTGAGCATAAAATAAATATTAACTGCAGCGGACAACGCCAAGATGCGCCTTTTAAGCGGCATTAAATAATATTTCACCATAAATTATTCTACGTACACCGCAAGCGCATATATTTCTGCATGAGTGTCTCTGTGTGTGTAGCGGTGCGTACGAGCAATTTGCGCAAATATAACCGTAAGGATAAGCTTTCAACACATTAACATCCAGACACAAGTTGGCGACCAGACGGCTCATACTTACGCGAACCCACACACAAACATTTCAACTAACTGTAAGATGCTGCTGCAAATACATAACGCATAAGTGTGGCTGTATGCGCCATGGTAATTGTTTGCACCGTCAGGATGAAGCTTCGCTGAGGGTATTCATTTCATATCACATTTCAATGACAAATATGACTTAAATAATGATTAAAACTAACGTTTAATGTGTTGTCACCCTGTTAGTAACTTAAAAATTTTATATTTGAAAATTAAAAAATGAATGAACTACGAATATCAATAATTAGTGCAACAAAAACTTAATAAATGAAATTAAAGGAGTTAAGTTCAGATCACCAATATACATACATATCAACATAAATCCCGGCGGGTAATTGAAGTCCTCATTGCATGGTATTGCGCTCAGATGTATTTTTATACGCACTCTCATTATTGGCCCTTCTCTGGAAGCTTCATTGTCAACTTTAGACTATCAGGAAAGCAACGGTATTTTTGATTAGAAATGCTCAATTATGGATGGGATACTGTTATTTCAAGTTTTTGTTCCGGGACTCATACACAATAGATTTGAGACTTTTACTTTGCATCAAAGTGTTGTACCGTAGTGCAGTATAACATAATTTCTGATATTCTGTCACGCACCCACGCTTAACTGACGTAAGTATATGCTTTATGTTGTTGCTTTAAATAGAAGTTGCAATTAAACCTGGTATTATTTATTTTAAACCTTTTTTTATACACTAATTTTTCTCAACTCAAAAGCATTAAAGCTAGTCAACTCACCAGAGTTCCACGTATGAATAATTAACAGTAAAATATGTATTTCGACAAGCTAAATATATCATCTCAAATACATTTACGAGCCACACTAGGTTATACATACAGCTACATTATTCTATTTTGCAACCTCTACCAGCCACCCAGCAAATCCATCACGTACATATGCCAACCAACGAATCATAATTTTTATTTTGCGCGTGTAAGCTTCTTCCCCCTTCGCTCTGCGTAGCTCTTCTGAGCATTATTGTTAACCGCAACAAATATAAATTATTTTTTGCTAACCTTAAATTAATCTCATATAACGACTAAGCCATTCAATTCCCAAGCGAAAGGAGGCACACCCTTAATTGTTGACTAGAAAGATCCAAACATCGCGTTTTATGTAATCTTTTACATTATGATGAGTGCATTTGGATAAAATACTTATGTATGAGTATAAAATTTGTCTAAATCACATTTTTTCATATTTAATCAACATTTAGGAATACATAATATGCTAAGGTAAATAAATAACAACGTCCTGGTACCTCTCGTATATACCAAAAAAAAAGTTTTAAATTCAGTTTTAACGCTACTCTCACAACTGTTTCAACACATACATACTCCATTGAGTTGCATGCCTTCACATGTCGGGGGTATGTTGATAATATAATGTTCCAATTGGATTTGAATCAGAATGTCCGTGTCCAAACCACTTGTGCTGACCCTCAATTCAACTCGCTCGCCTCAAAACTGAATACTCTAAACAAACAAACAAGCGATTGTAACCTTGCAACATGAGTATAAATGTCGTTCATGCACTTACCGGTTGGCCTTCGTATCTACGCACTACTGCGATATCGATTGCCGCACTCCCCTCGGCGCTACGCTTTAATTGCATGCTGCTGGTTGTTGTTTTTTTTGCGTGCGTTTGCCCAAACGCGGCTTGTATAGTGCGGAGGACTTTTTGCTGATTCGCGCCGCCAATTGCCACGGCACGCTAAGATCCTCAATGTCATTGGCAAGCATGTCATTAGCGGCACTACCAACACCACCCGCCTCGCCCACGCCAATGCCATTGTCGGTGTCACCGTGGGCTAAACCAACGCCGTCGTTGTTTTTGCCGCTGTCTGTCTCGCCAGGGTACTCTCCATTGTTGTTATTATTGTTGTAGATTTCATTGAACAATTGTAAATCCGCAGCAGCGCTGCGACTGAGGCGCGAACGCAAACGCGCCAACTCGATGTCGGAAAGTTGCCCTGCAAGCAGGAGGGAAAATCAACAAATTCAAATGGACACGCACACATGCACACACATGTGAGAGAACTTGTGGTCAGCAGTTTATCGTGCAGTGAACAACAACACTGCTAAAAGTAAGAACCAATGTGTGAAGGTGTCTAACAATTTGCCAAACAACAAGCAACTGTAAATATTTGTTATAGACAAAGGACATCTGAGTTTACACTTGGAAGAACCTTCGAGGTTCGGAGTGAATCCGGACGGTTTGTGGTTAAGCACACAGTGACATATCCAACTCAAGTACACGAATCGATATGTGGCTGCAAAGATCCGCTTTTACTCCGAATAAACCAGATTTATTAGAAGCTTTCTGAATCATGTAATTCGCCTTTAGATGGCATATTTTAAGCTTTAGCATACGAACGCTGCTTGTTTCGATTTTCTATATATATTCTATATAGATCAAACAGATTTAGCTTTCAAGACATGCAGATATGACTTTCAGAAGCCCAAATCACCAACCTCTACTCGAAAGGAGCAAAACTCTACTCTGTGGTAACTTACTGTTTCCTCTAGTAAATTAAGTTTTATTCCTACTTACTCGCGGTCGAGACACTCTACTTGTATACCTTATACTTTACAAAAGTATTTTCTCATTATTTTTTGCTACTTTAGTGTTAGGTATTGTTACTTAATATTGTACTCACTTCTTAAATTTTGCATTATATTAAGCAATGCCAAGTTGTAGGTATACGTCGGCATGCTTTTCAGATACTCTTCTGTCGTGGCCAGAGCATGCTGAGAGCGCTTCTGACGTGTCCTCATGGTGGATGGTGCAATTGCTGTGGCGGCCTCTGAAGCCAACATCGACCGCTTACCAAACTGTGTCTGAACTTTTTCATGCTTTAGCTGTTTTTGTTGTTCTTGTATGGGTGTATACGGTTTTGCGCTATTCGGCAATTTTCCGAAATTTATAGCCTAAAACGAGGCAAAAAAGCAATGATTATGGCTGCTGTAGTTGAAAGGCAAGAAATACTAATGTATAAAATAAACGCGCAGTTTTTCTCTGGATTAATACTACAATTTTTTCATTTTTTGCCACGGCCACAAAATGCTGTTAATCAAAAACCTATAAAGTGCTATTAAATTTTCTCTGCTTCTATCATTTTATAGTATATGTGTAAATCAAGCACCAGCGAAGTTTTTAGAATAAAACCTCTCAGAAATAACGCTTCTAAAGTTTACCATATTACATCCAAAAAATCGAAATCAGACCACAACTTTTTAAGTCCCCAGATAAGGAATATTCGGACCTCAATACCTATAACGAATTTTTTTACAAATGTTCAGTTGCGTTCACTGAATTCATTATTCGACGAAATCGTGAATAAATTGTAATAAAATTTAGTGTCTTCTTGACTTATATTGAAGTTCATAGACCGACTTAGCTTTATTGCTACATTTTTCTTCGCGTCAGCTAAAATTATATTGAATCATTTTCATATGAGATATATGTGATATAAACTTAATCGAAGGGGCTAAATTTAATATATTGAGTTTATGTGGGAACGTCATCCAGAGGATCAGAATTCATTAAATTAGATATATGAGGTTTAGACCAAGGTCTACAAGCTTGTACACTACTTCCATTTATATTCAGCGATAAATGCATAATTTTTAAGAAAACTTATCCATTCATTTTCGTTAAAATATCACAGAAAAACAGAAATCACTATAAAGAACTGAACAACTATAAAGCAGGAAATACCTACACACTGAACGACATATTCGATATAAGCTTTGTTAGTATAACGAAAATCATTATAAATATATTTGGGGTTGAGGGAGGTAATAATAAATTGCTGCTTTTATTAGGGTACCTAACATACCATCACCCGCATATGTATATGGAGTTATGTCAGACGGATGTTCGAACATCCTGATATTAGTTATATGGGATCTATGGCAAGGTTTCACCCGATTTTTATTTTAAGCAGAAAAAGTGCCCCTTATTATTAAAAAATGCTCTGTCGTTCTCATTAAGATAACTTATATATTGGCCGATATTTACGGTATAAAGTCAGCCGAGAGTTCGAAAATCTTTATATTAAGTATATGTGGGCTGGCGGAAGTATTGAATCAATTTAATCCATTTTTAATATACGGGCTTATTAATATCGGGAAAAGACTCTATCCAAATCGCAATAATATATCTGACAGACTGACCAATATATCGAGTAATCCCGGAGATATGTGATTTCACCTAAAGGTGGGCGGTGCCACAATTGTGACACCGGCTCCTATAAAGTCCTCGAGTACCATCCTGCATTGAATTAATTGTCTCTAGTGCATTTAGCTATTGATTTATCGCACTTTTAGTAGTTTTTAACAAAACTGTTATAAGGGGAGAGGGCGAGGTTATCATCCGATTTTACCTATTTTCACGCTGTCGTAAGAAGGGTCAAAAAGATTTGTCCTGAGGAAATTTAGATGATTTAGCTGGGCGAGGGAAGCATCACGTGACATTTTAAAATGAGGACAAAGCTATTATTCGCATTTTTTAGAAGAAACCACTATAACAAAATCTGAACGCAGTTAGTATGATAAAATTGCATAAAAAGGTTTACTACAGTCAGCTGCCGATAGTATGCACTTGTGACAACAAGAGAGTAAATCTGGTCTATAGTCACCCTAGCCCCATATTCCACTATATACTACAGCTTAATTACGAAAATTTGTGAAACTGATCCACGACTCAACTACCATATACTACGAGTATATTAAAGAATTTTGTTATTCTAGCAGACTTTATGCCGAATACGTCGGTCAGTGCGTGAATCTTTATCTTTTTAAAATTGTGTGAAAACATGTTCTCGATTATTCTTTAAGAATACCAAAAGTTAAGGCATCAGTCATGAATTTCCTCTAATATAACCGATATAGAGATATCTGTGTTTGAACTGTTATGTTTGTTTCTCAAACATAATGTGCTTTACCGCTAAATATCAATGAAATAGCCCTAGACCTCTCTGTTTAACCTTTTGCGAATCTAGTCAACGTATAAAATTTAGCTTCTTACATCTACCCTTCATCTAAACTATTTCCCCGCCTTAGTGTTTTGAAACTTATGAGAATATAAAACTTTCGGTTATACCCAAACTTAGCCCCTCTTCCTTTCCTATCATGCAAATCTGTGGATCAGAGAGCAATATGAGTTTCTATTCCTGCCTTTCACGCATCCTTTCGATAAATCGAACACAAAGTAAGCTGTGAAAGAGAAAATTGGGAAATTGTTTAAGATATGCTTGATCTGGAAAATAGTAACTTTGGCTACCGCTTCCAAACTCAACCAGAGCAGAAAATTTCCCTTTTAATGAAAAGATTTAGGTACTATTAGCGAAGCGTCCTAAAACCTTCAGATGAAGATATTACACTGTATGCTATACTTTTGGCATAGAATAGATTAAAAAGTTTTGCGACGACTACTTCGAAAGTTGGCAGTAAATTTCCAACTGCATGAGAGAGCAAAGTTTGTCATAAGAAAACCTAAATACTGATAATAGAATATATTTGGTAAGAAATCCAAGAAAGAGAGAGAAGAGAGAGAGAGTTGTTCACATTCTGTCACGGAATTTTATAAGCCACCCGAAGAAGATGAACAGTTAACGTTGTTCATATATTTGTTCACTCAGCGGCACGGGTCTTCCCTCATAAAGAAGATCAATTTAGCAGAGAAAATGAGAGTTTCAAATTTGATGGGGGACTTCTGTCCTTAGACAAGATTTGGTATTAACTTATAAATGTATATAAAATTCTCAATAGATTCGAATTTCTTCCTCCGGTTAATCATTTTGGTGGGGAAATTGTACGAAAACGTTCATTATGAAACGTTCATACAGATATTTGTAATTCAAATTTTAGTAAAGGCGCGGATTGAACGCTCATGAATTCCTGGTAGAAAGCACTGTGTTCTTTTTTTTGCCTCATTCGTGCATTCAATTGAGAATGTGGCAGCATTTGCTGCTCTGTTTTCTCTGCTGCCCTCGCATAAAAGTTAGGAGTTTATAATGTGCCACCGCGGATGGCGTTGCTAAGCCATTTTAACGGTTGGCTGTAAATTCGAATATATATTAAATGTCATCGGGTATTTTGGGAAGATGCAAAGTCAGACTGCTTTCGAGTTAAATAAGATGATTAGAAATCTACTAAGCAATAAGTATACTCAAATTCTACTGCTGCTGTTTTATTTCAAAAATTTCAATGCTCATTTGCAACACTCTTGAAACAAAATTTTTGCAACACATGTGAAGCATGGCGTATACGCTGCAACAAGCAAACAAGCTTACAAAGTATCTTTCGTATGAGTTACAATGTAGACAAATCACAGTTACCCAACATTCCACAAACCGTTAACAGAACAAAGTAGTTACAAGCAAGCAAAGCTTTCACGTCGGAAGTCACTTGAAAACTTTCAATGCCAAAGCTCAACTCATGTCGAGGACTCAAAGTTACCGGCCAACAACAGGAACGAACAAAAGGAAAAAGCAGCCAACAGTGCCACTGTTGCCGAATCTAGAATTTAGGGATTAACATTTACTCTCACTTTCACTTACTCAAGCAATGCTCAAAGTTTTTTTACTGCAGCTCGGTGAATTTGTTTTCTTAGCCGCAGTGTATATTAAAGTGGGTGTGTTTCAATCGCAAATAAATTACTTGTAGCATCTTGAAGGAATCGTTAAAATATTTAGTCAAGTTGGCCGTTTCGTCCATCTGTGAATAATAATTCTCAAGTAACAACCCACAAACCATGATCAAATTCTTGGTATATATGGTATAGGTATGCATGGACAGTGAATGCACTCTCCTAACTTAAAATAAGAGCAAGAACTAAAGCCTACAAAAACTAAATAATAACAGATATTAGTATGCTTAACAACAATTAAATTCTCGTTTCAACGTGTTATCACAACCCAGTCTGTTCATTGCGGTTCATTCGAATGTGTATGCAACGTACCAACAAATATATTGTCACAGACCGTATTTAATTTGGAGTTTATTTTCTTACTGCACTTAATTACGAGTGATAACTTTGCAAATCACAAACGAAACTAACTTGCGTTCAATGAAAACTCGGAAATTCGGGAAATTGGTTGGCAAAGGGTGCAGCCACGGTATCGTTTACGTCGACGTTGCGTCTACTGTGCGAGCTGAGCGTGACAAGAAGCAGAATGAACGGCAATTACTTATCCCCATATCAATCCATGGCACTTACCTGCAGAAAGTCATCGTCATGCTTGCTGGCTGCCTCGGTACCGCCAGAAACGTAGCAGGAAGCAGCGAAAATGAGAAGCAAACTGAACACACTTAAATTGCTCATGGCAAACCAAATAAGTAACTAAACTAATTCGCCCGGCACGCTTGTATCGCTTGCTGAATATCGAGTAGCGCTAACTTTCGCTTGGTCGCAGAACAATCGGAGACGAATAAGTGCACCAAATCGATTGTTGACGGCGACTGATGAATGTGCTATGAGATTGTTGATTTTTATACTTTCAAGAGACAATCCGATTTTTATTGTTCTTAATGTCGAGAAGGAAGAACAACAAACGATTAGATGCTAAATAATTTGTTATTTCTTGACGTGTTAATCCACTTTCTCGCGCTTTAGCATTAATAAACGGTATTAACAATGGAGAGAACAAAAAACAAGAACACAGCAGGTTGCGAGGCACATTCGAGGCAATTGTGATTAATGGCAATTTGTTGCTCAGCTGACACACTGACCGTCAAATTGTCTTGTTGCCGTGCTGGCCTTCGTGTATTTAGCAGCGCCGCAGGACATTATTTACGCCATGACAATCACAACCAATTACCGCAACAATAACAACAGCTACATGTGCACCAGCGTTGGCAAACACTGTTGAGCGGCTGAACGTGTGTGATGAGCAACCGACTGTTCCTGCAGCGTCATCATTCCGTGATTATAGACAGATGTACTGCTCCCGCCAAAAGGGGGTAATAGCTGTGAATTTATTAGAAATCTGAGCCAGTGACAGGCGCTGATCTTGGTTATATATCGTTTTTGCAATTTGCTACTATTTGGACCTCGTTCTGTGGAAGGGCGAGAAAAGCGATGGATATCTGGTGAACCATTTATTCGGCTCTGGAGACCTAAATGAGTCCTAATTGATGCCAATTTGTTATATTATAAAATCCAGTTGTCACCCGGTGTGGCAAAATTTATATCAGGTACTGAATATTTCAAGATATACCACAGAACCACAAAAATTGTAAAAAAAAATTCGGCGAATCTAATATCACACGTAAAAACCTTTACTTTGAACATTAACGACAACCTCGTCCTTTATAATAGGCTAGGTTATGGCAGCATATTCGAGTGAAATGTGAACAAATTAATGAAGTTAAATTGCTTGCCAATTATGTAATCGTCCTGTGCAAACAATAACATTGAAAAGGTAATCGCGCTGAAAATCCATGCGTTGATCTAACCCGCTGAAACTCTTTCGATAAAATTGCTATGAGTGAATCGAGGTCATCGAAAGAATATAATTACGTACATATAAAAGCCGCTATATATCTCTCCGTCAATTCGAAAAGTGACCCGCTAGGTGTAAAATGTATCAAAAGCTTTTGTGTGGCACTGCTTAGGCGGTCCAATGCGGTCTTTTATGCACCTTTGGTCCGTAAGTCTTTCCCGTACAATTAGCAGCGTAGCATAATGGCATAGTTTTTGTCGCTTTCATCGCTTTTACAAAAAAGAAACCCACATCCACGCAGCGCAAACAATAGATCAATCAATCGTTCCTAAATGGCTTAGTTCTTGTTATTCATTCGTGTGGCACACATTCGTGATTTACCGAGATGTGTGTGCGTGCATATCTGCCAATATATTGGTTCAGTACAGGTTCCTGGGCGCGTAAGCCAAACTCGCCGGTTTTTTTGCACATTCAATGGCAGCTGGCAGCCACCTGCTGGGCATGGCTTTATTATTCTTCACAAATCCACACGCAACTGCACTTTATGCGTTTATATTACCATTTAACCATTTAACCCTTTTTCGCTCTTTACCGATTCTTTATTTTGCTTTCTCTTTGTTCACCTGGCCAGCCGACTGGCGACTCCTGGCTGAGCACCGCTTTCGAAATTAGCCTCTCGGTTGTAGCTCGCAAATCCCTATGTTGCTGCCTCATTTTTAATAAAAACAAGAAAAAACGTTAACTGCGGTTTGACCGAAGCTAGAATACCCTTCACAAATACAAAAGATTCGTTTCTATCACTTGATTTCGAACGTTTCAAATGGGGAGAAAAGGATATGTTCAAAATTTCAGATCCATATCTCATAAACTGAGGGATGGACAAGCGGACATGGTTAAATCGACTCAGCTCGTCATGCTGATGATATACATATATATACTCGTATTTTATATAATCTCCGACGATGCCTTCTGGGTGTTTCGCGGCCCAAGCGGTTCTTCGCTTCCATCCACATTAGTAAAGTGGTGGTAGATGACTTTAGAGAAGGCGCATAATAATGCGATAATCTTAATCAAATTAAAGATCCTAATCTACTCACACGTAGGAACATGTTTTAGAGCTTTCTACTTAAGCAAAGAATCTCCCTCGTTTACCATTGGATTTAGAAAATAAGCGTCTAACCAACCACTAGTAAGATCGGTGTGATATATATTTAATACCAATAGAAATTGTTGGGTTTCAACTAAGGTTTAGAGTTTAATAATGTATTTCTTCTCACACTGTGTTCCCCAAATATTATGACCAGATTTATTTTACTAGGATTTACCAGAAAAAAAAATTTAAAATTCATTATAATGGGAAGTAAAAGTAGTTTTTATTCAATAATATAAATATGCAAATACTTTTAAGCTATTTGAATTCTTTCCGACATGTACATAAATATACAAGTATATATGGTCGTCGGCATTTTATACTATTTGATGGATTATTCGTATGTATTAATTATTAAATTCGTTAGTTTTGTGTGGAAGTATTTATTATATTAAATATTTATGTTCTAGTTAACATACATAGATATTTTAGAGGCTTCGTTAAAAATTTACAATAAGGATCAAGCGAAAGTTTTAATTAACCACATAACTTTGGAAATTGCTCCAAAATATCAGCTAAAAATTTTGCCTTTTTAACATTATTGGCATCTATAAACTTTTTTTTTTTTTTTCTTTATAAATTTGTTGTAATTTTCGAACTTTGTTGAATATTCGTATGTAGTAAGTATGTGTGTGTGGGTTACGTGAAATTTATTATTGTTGGTCGCCAACCAAAAGCCTTTACAAACTAGTAAAACCATTAAGACCACATAGCCGCTCAACCGCAATGTGCACCAATCAAAGGAAACAAAAAATATTTACATATCCAGAGATGTGTTTTGCAACACGCAAGCCTCACCGGCAACGCACTGTCAACTGACACACCGCCCACTCAGTGCTCATACGCCAACGATTCGGTGCGCACAAGTTCGGCAACGCCACTAACAATTCACTCAAATTTTAGAACTTATTTCCGCGTTTCCCGAGTCGCGGCTTGAAAGGCGCCGACTTCTTCAATGATGTGTCCGTTAGCGCGTCATCCTCTTCGCCTACGATGGCCACAGTATCAGACGTGCCGAGGCCCAAGTTGTCAGCTTCATCTATGAAGTATTGCCAAAGCGGAGATTCCTCAACGGCAGAACGTCGACCCGGTCGAGGGCGCAACATAACGGGTTTTTCGTCACGTGTACGCAACATTTCTGTGAATTGAGAAAAATTGAAAACGAGTTTTCTTAAAGTGTAAGATTAGAGACGATCACTGCACCTTTTAGGGCGCTCACTATACGATTGTAGTCGTTGAAAGGTATACGATCGAATCCCAGATGAGGTGTAATTTCGACTTCTCTGCTAGGATACTGCACGAAATTCTCATATTTTTGTGAACGTTTCTCCCGCAACGGTCCTCGAAAATTATCAGTCGTACGCCGAAGAGCGGCAATAGAGTGTCGAAAGGCGTTGTGATAATCGTTTAACTGAAATAGAAAAAATAATGGTTTAATGTTATATTTAATCACCCGGTTTGTATCTTCTCTTCGGAATGTTAATACTGTGAGAAAATTGTGAAACCAATTCTTTTTTCCACAAAAACAAATTATCAATCTATTTGACATAGCGCAGGCTTCAAAAACGGGCAAGGCACGAAATCGCCTGCAGGAATTCATTTTTCACAGTGCATAGAACACAGATGGAATCCTGCTTCTGAAAGATCCACTCAGTTAATGTGATTTCAACCATGTAATGCTGATACCATTAAGTAGTAAACTATCTTAGGGACCATTCCATAGGTTTCTCTTCCCGGTTAGAGCGAGAACAATTTACAACATATTTACCTATATTTACTTACACACATGAGGGTAAGCCTTACCTGAAAGCCTGATTTGTTCGAAAATTTACAGCTGCAAAGCACATAGTAAGAAATTGCGCATAAGAATAATGTTAAAATCCTTAGGCCACCCATTTGAAGAGCACTGAGTAATTCAAAATTTATTTTGCCAATTTGTGATTTTTATATTTGAAAGCCGTGTACAAGCTCTTTACGACCGTCAGCGATAACTGTTGTCTGCTGACCGGCGGCAGTAACTTTTTATATGCTCTCCAAACGCGTGCAAAGATGCAACCTGCTCCCATAGTGCGAGTTAAGCTCTACCCAATAGATCAATCAACAGTAAAGAGAATAAGGACAGCAACAAACATTGGTGCCCATTCAAACAACATCATCTCGCAACAATAGTGATTAATGTCAATTTGTCAACGGGGTGTTAAGTTCCCCGCGGGATATCGTTGATCCACGCATTGCACAAAAAAAGGGGCAAATGGAAGAGAGAGAGAGAGAGAAATATAGAGCGAGTGAGACTGTATGATAGTAAAAAAAATAGTTGAAAGCCAATAAATAGAGGCCAGTTCAGTAAACCAGTAAACCAGTTTCTAATATTATATCTTGCTTAGTGGCTTATTATGTAAGTGTTTGCATGTAAGTAACCGCGGGAAATTATACTTATACTTGTACAAGTGTACGAGCACACCGCTGTTCGCAGTTCTAATTACACACTTTTTTACCCCATTTGCACCATGTTTATATTTTTATACATATGTGTGCAATGTATGTATGTTTATTCAAAATGCTACAATTTAATACCCACGCAAACAACACGCCCACATACCACATACAAGCTGTGTGATGTGTAAGCTGTGCTATCAACTCCTTAGCACCCTGCAAAATGGTCGAATATTGGCGTCTACAGTTGTGCATCCACATATAAATATCATATAACTAGGTATGTATATAGGTATATATAATGCATTAGGTATACATGCTAATTTTCGCACAAAGTTTCTCTTCCTATTTTGTGTCTATGTCGGAGATCATAGGAGCTTTAATTTTTATGAAAGGGTTATCGTGGGTTATCCCTCATCTGCATACTCTTTGATTATCCAAAAACAAGTGCATAGGAAAGGGAAATATGCTCCACCCCTTTTTTAAATCATTAGTCTGCATAAGCTAAGCCACTTGTGAGAAAATATATTATGTAAATATTGCAACATATAGATTATGTATTCAAATTTATTTTAAGCATATTCCAAACGCTAAAACTAAAGACATGAATCCAGTTAATGGAACTAAATACTTAACCACTTTTTTACATTTTGTTTTTACAAAGCCTTACTCATTTTACTCGTTTTACATTATCCATCTCATGGTATTACAGATTATTTTATTTAAGTTAAACCTCTAACTTGTATAACTGAGAGCGTTTGCCTAAATTCGGTTTATAACGGATTGACAAGCGTTCGTGTTCGTTTTGCATTTCTGAAAGAGATTCGCAGTTGAGCATAACTCAGCTAAGAATAACAAAATACTGTGGGGCACCAACCTTTCATTAGCCGCACCAGGTTTTCGTAAACATCAGCTTGCAGCTCGTCGAATATGTCCGCATTGTCATTTTTTCCATGGATGGCGTTCAGCTCCCTCGGCTCACTGCTTTGGTAGCGTTTATGTGGCTGCTGATTCTTCAAACCAATAAACAGGTCACCCTGGATGCCGTGATTATGGTATATGGCAGAACATAAAATTAATTTCCTTCGGAATGGAGCTTTAAAGTATACTAACCTGGTAGTCGATCGGCTCAAACAACTTAGCGCCACAACTCGTATAACGGCAACCGGCGAACAGCATAATAATGAGAACAATTCGCTGATCCATGGCTTATTTATGGTTTTCTAGCAGAATTTCACGACTTAATAAAAGTAACTGGGTATGTTAGTACTTGCAACCGCCAAGGACTACTGTTGCCACAACGTCGGTGGCAGCCATAATTTATAGTCGCTTGGACGGACACATTTTGGCAATATGTACACACATATTTACATTTACAGTTGTACAGCTGCATCGTCATCGAAAGATGCTGGAACTTATCTAATGACAAAGCGTGATTTGCCATTTTGGATTCTTCTAAATCATTATTTTAGAAAAATTGTCGAAAATGCGCAAAATGAAATCAGCCTGGCCTGATTAACATATTCGTACTGAAGTTATGCGCGCAACACTGTGGGAAGTAGACAGTTAAACAGCCTAAAGCAGAAGAAATGACCTCAGCAAACAACTAACTTTTTAATCCATGATAGGTACATGAACTCTCTCTTTTAGTTATTAATAAAGTGGTTGGGTCGCAAATTAAAAAAAAAAACAAAGCGAGTTTCAACGGGTCATTAAGAAGGCTTAAATATAACAACAGAATCAGAGCCGACTATACATAATAGTAATATAGAAATATAGTTTTGAATGTACTACTTACTAACAACTAACAAAACAAAATGTTTAGAGTAGGCGCGCGACATTGTATTGATTGATGAAATGAAAGCACAGAAATAGTTCTGAAATGAATAACTTCAAATGTTTTTGACCCAAGTAAGCAACCTTTTTGGCAGTGAATGTTATTTACTAAGGTTGGAGGGTTTGAAGTCTCACGATTCAAGAAAAGAAAGGTATGATATTTGTCGATTTAACGACAAATTTAATAATAATGCATAAATATACATTTATAAATCATGAAAATGAGGTACCAGGTTCTTGACTTTTTGTTCTTTTACCAATATATTCAAATTATGAAAACAACGAAGCCCAGGCAACCTCTATTCCATTTTGTAAATTATTTCACTTAAGAAATCTATGAAGTGTTGGAAGACAATTATTAACAACACGAGCGTAATTATTTAATTTTGCATTCCAAAGTCCTTATAATGAATGAGATTATGTACTTATGCTTCCACGACCCCTTTAATGAATCGATGAGCAACTAATGTCCAACTTAGCGATGTCAGACTGAAGTTAAATGCTTTAAAATTTTCTCCAGTGAATAACATTGAACTCGGAAGCAATATTGTGTGGTTGCATGGATCATTGTAAGCTTCTAAATCGCCCATTAGTCAGCCATTAAGTCACAGATTTGGCACAAGCAAGTTGGCGGCCAGAGATAATTGTGAACGTTTGCTGTTAAGTAACAATTTCTTATATTCTCACACCGATAACCATTCACAAAACATGAATGGCATCCATTGACAGGCCCGGCCGCTATGCAAATGGTCACCATAAGCACTGATAATAGCAAATGCAATCATCATTATGGAAAATTGTAAGCGCTAAGAAGGATTTGCTGACCAGGCTTCAACGACAGACAGGCCGAGAGTCGACAAGCACAATTCCATTTCTATTTTCATTTCCATTTTACGTGCACATATATTTCGAGAGCAAGAAAGCTGTGGCAACATTCGAAACAATAACCCAATGTAGCATTCCAGCCATGTGTGTATGGTCGTTGTAGCAGCTGTTTGTTATGGTCAACCAGTACGTGAGCGGATTGACCGAGAGCTTCAGAGCCTGCCATGTCAGGCATTTAAGTAGTCAGACAAACAGTTACACATGTATTGGCAGATATTTAAATGCTGGCTGTTTGCGCCTGTAAGGATGCAAATGTTTGCTTTCAGATATACACACATATGCATTGTGCTAGCGTGGGTGTGTGCGCGGCAGCAAGAAATCTAAAGCGTGTGTATATGTACACACTAGTGAAGTGGACCCTACTCTACATTGGTAGTAGATAGACAGGCAAACAAACATATAAAATATATAAATACGAACATACGAACCACATTGTTCTAAGTGGATGCACTGATACACAGCATGGATGTGACAGTCTGGTGTTCCCGGCAGACGTTTGCATACACATGAGCGCATATGCACATTGTCAAAATAAAAATGGAGCCTTTACATTTGCACATGCACATGTATATATGTATTTATGTATATAACTGTATTTGTTAGACTGTCGTACTTATAATTGGCATGTGAGGTCAACGGTGATAACTGTTGCTCAAACATACATACATACCGCCCGACGAGTTCGCACATAATAAACTTTTTAAATGCGCGTATGTTTACACTTATGCAATTGCTCTGCAGAATTCTGTACATTGTGCTCATTCTCTGGCCGTTCTGTCACTTTTTCCACACTCTATTGTTGACACATAATGGCGTAAATAACCAAACAGCAAGTGAGGCACCAACATTGCAGCAGCAATAGCTTTTCACCTTCGGGCTTTAGAGCACATTTTCATTGGATCTACAACAATGACACACATTTTGTCGTTGAAAATGCAAAGTATTTGCGTTGCATTATCAAAGACCGTTATGTTTTTTAACTCGCAAGTACCAATTCTGTCTGCCTGCATCTATTGCTTACTTTTTTCCTGAACAAACCTCTGCTAGTCCTTTGTAGAAAATAAGTAACTTATTGGTAACGGTTTGTGCGCGATAGAACTTCGAAGTAATCGAACAGTTTTTGACCATATTCCACATTGAAATTCTCAATCTTAATTTATTTTTTTTTGTGCTGGAACGACTAAGAGGGATTTTCTAGTACATTTTTTGTAATGCTATTTGGAAAATTTTTATCGATTCATATATGTGATTACATATATACCATAAATATATCTATACTGCATACATTTAAGCGCAGTAATTGTGGCTTTTAGTCATTTGAACTTCTTCTGCATTTTTATACCCCGAACAGGATATATTAAGTTTGCCACGAATCTTGTAAGACTCAGAAGGATATGTTGGAGACCTTATATATTATATATTGTACAATATATATAAATGATGAGCTAAGTCCATTTAGCTATGTCCGTCCGTCTGTTACTGTTAGTTTTTGAGATATCGATCTGAAATTTTGCCGACATTGGACCACTATAGGATATAGCTGCCACACAAACTGAGCGATCAATCAAATGCTTGTATGGAAAAAGTCAAAAAAGTTTGACGATATACCTTCACGAAATATGGCATGGATTATTATTTAAGGCAAAGATTATTTAAATCGAATTACAATAGTATACATTTGCTATACAAACTGAGCGATCGGAATCAAGTCCTTGTTTAAAAATCTTTTTCATTTGCGAAATCTTCGCCCAGCCGATCAGAATCATGTTTTTATATGGAATATTATGTATCGGTGCAACCGAAGTTAACGTTTTTTCTTGTTTTATGTTCATAAAATAAATAAGAATATTAACAAGTAAATAACAGCTCAATTAGGGTATAACATAAAAGGCGGGGAGTGAAGATATCTCTTCAAACAAAAATGTTGTGCATACAAACATTTGATTTAGATAGTTTCAATTTGTATGGCAGGTTAATGCTATAAGGTTTATGGTGGCTCCCAGAAAGAGATGATCTCTGAATTTCATTAAGTAACCTCATAGATTGACCAATATATATAATGTACAAAGTCAACCAGAAGTTCGAAAATATTTATATTAAGGATATGGCGGCTAAGGAAAGTATCGACGCGATACCTATTTTTAGCATAAGGACGTGCTTTCATTACAAAAATATTTTCCCCGATTTTCATGACTAGAACTCACAGATTGAACGATATGTTCCGCCATATGCACTGGGGACCACATGTGTGTCTGAGTCCTTGAAAAGATATAGTGAGATTTCGACAATTTTAGGGCGTAAGATGAAATAGCTTGAGGGCACTATTTGTGAAAAGTTGTATTATGATAACTTCATTGATGTTTGATTAGTTGTTTTAAAAATTTTCATATGGGAACCCCACACACCAAATTTGTTTGTAAATTGGTCAACTAGTTCTTGAGAGAGAGGATTTCACCTAAAGCGGGTGTTGACACACCTATGGTCTAATTGTTACACCTGCTTTTAAAGAGCCCTTCTTGGTTGTGAAATTTAATACTTATGGGTCATTTATTTAGTGAGTTATCGTACAGAAGGAAACGTAGGAGACATTATGAAATATATGTACATAAATGATCAGTGTAACGAGCTGAGTCAGTTTAGCCATGGCCGTCTGTTGGTTTGTCCTTCTGTTTGCATATATGCTATACGATCTAAATCAAGTTCTTGTACGGAAAACTTTTTTGTTTGATAATATATCTTCACAAAATTTGGAATGGATTATTGCCAAAAGCAGGGTTGCAATCTCCGAACGATTGAACCACTATAACATATAGCTCACATGTAAAGTAAACATTTTTTTTTTATTTTATTTTACTTTTCCATAATCATTTACGATGTATTTTTCTTGATTTACGGCATAATCCTTTTGTTTTCTTCTAGACAATTTGCAAAGGTATTTTAGTCATTTACATACATATTTATTTCGCCGTAATTCTTTAGCTTGCTCACTTAACCACTTATTCTACCCTCTCCAGCTCGAAGGCATATTTGCATATCCTTCTGCCTCAGTGTTTATGTTATGTGTGAACACTCTCTTACTTCCTTATTAGCTTCTGTGATTACTCCTCGCCGCATGCACCTCGTTTGCGTTGACATTAGCCCGTCAGTTCCCTAGCACTTTATGCTGCTTCTGCTGCAGCGTCGCTGCCGACACACGTATTGTTTACATTACACGTCGGATTTGCCAGGTCGCACGCCGGTGCTTGTTCGGCTCCCACTATCGTTGGCATTGTTCATTTGTTGACAGTATTTGTTTCATTTCTGTTTAATATTTGTCTCCGGATTACTTTAGTTACATTTGCATTTCAAATGGAAATCAAACGGTATAGAAAATTGCTTGCAGTAATCACAACAAATCCTTTTCAAGCATTGGTAATTTGCCTCTTTGAGTCATTAATATTGCATTTGCGTGAACTGTAAATATCTACAGTGATTATGTAAATATCAAATGAATGTGACTGCAAATGAATTAAGACAAAAATGGAGAAAATATTAAAAATAATTGAATAAACGGAACACCAGAAATTGGGATCTTTTAAAATAACCTTCGGGTTGAATGAACATTCTTCGAAAATGAATGAATAGTTTTTGGAGATGAATTATGAAAAAGTTTGAGATTAGTGGTTGAACGACGTGTCGTTTCATTTGAATAACTAATTGGGCCCAAGAGCTCAGGGAAGTCATAGAAATATGGTAAATGTGTTTGCTCCATTTTTTCTACCTTTTATTCATTCATTGATGAAAACATCGGGTAGTAAATGTTGCATGAGTTCCAAAAAGCCTTTTAATCTGTAAGATTACATTATATTATATGACATTCAACATCTGGGAAAAAAATTTAAATATTTTGAAAAATGTTTTATTAGATAAATAATATATTTAGTGAATTAAAAGTGAATAAGTTAAACTAGGTTGACTATGATTTTAATTGAACTTTTGGTTACATACATACATTTACATATCATTCACTTCTTTACTATGAATTCGCACATACAAACATACACTCGTACACACATGCTTGCGACTGAAGAGTCGCCAAATATTGTGCCAAAATAGCTCGATTAACAGTAAAACATGGCATATGCTTCGTCACGATTTATTTCTCATTTCCCTCTACTTTCGCAAATTCACGTCCTTTTTAATTTCCGTTTCAGATTTTTGCTGTCGTTTAATTAAAAACGGATAATCAGTATTTGACGACGTCGACAAATGACTTATTTGCTGATTTTGCCATCGACAGATACAAGAAGCCCAAGAGGTTGAGGAGGTGGGTACACCGAAACTCAGCAGCAGTTAGAGGTGAATGTTATTGACGACCGAGACCTTGATGGCTCACCCGAACGTAAACTGTGTGTAGTTGGACTTGCGAGATACAAGGTGATTTTTGATTGACAGCCCAAGGAAAAGGGTAGTAAAAATCTGTTGATCAACACTATTATGCTCTAAAGCAATTAACAGAAGTTACAATAACAAAAGCATCAAAACTGGTAGGTGAAGGCGGTTTAGAAACGGTATGAAGGGTGGAACTGTTGCTGACCAAGCCACCTAGCAACAAAGCTTGCAACGTGGGTGACAATGACATTATTGGACTGTTGGATGCAGCAACATTTCGTGATGACTGCCACCATAAGGACACTGTTAAATCTGCAATTGCAACTGTCACATCTACTGCAACAGAAAGGGAAAATATCAATGCCGCTGAGACGTGACGCAATGACCGAAGGGCCAAAAAATAAATTGCTGACCCAAAATCCACTCAATGTCATTTTCACTGTTAAAGACAACAACAAAACCAGCAATTTTCAACTGAAAACAAAAACAACAACTGAATTCGGCATAGGCAACAAGCAAAAAGTAAAAATATAAATAGAGAAAACAAATTAAACCAAATAAAAGAAAAACCAAACTTATAAAGCAAAGTTATCCAGTCAATTTAAAGCGGAAAAATTGGAGCGGTATGGCAATTAAACCTGCAATCAATCGAGGTGTTGAATACAAAAGTCCAAAAAAATATAGAAATTACAAAAACAGCTATAAAAACTACAATATACTTAATAAAAACGCCCACAATTCTACCACCAACGCAGTCACAAGCCAAAAACCATACTATCACTGACAGTTTCAACCACAAAGCCAACAGTAAAGGCGAAACTGAAGCGTTAGCACGAGGAATCAACGGCCTATGACAGACGCACAATGTGCACGAACGTTGCAGCTAAGCCAGCAGACAGCAACAGCAGCAAAGGTGACAACAAAGAGATCAACAACAACATCCACCATATCTACAGCGGCAACCGACGCAATAGCGTAGCGACCACAATCGCAGCAAGCTTAGCCGTCATCACCTACCTCGGACACCCGGCTGCATCGCAAGAATTCACAGTCCCAACAACGGCTAGTGCAGCGTCCACCCACCAGCAATCTCGTAATATCAGCGATTACGCGACGACTGAAGCATCAGCAACAACAGCGATTGCAGCTGCAGCTTATACAGTAATCGCGGAGAGTTTCGATTCAATATCAGCTGCAACAACAACAAAGCCAGAGTCCCCCAGCACCCCTGCCGACATACACGCATCTTCGTCTACTACCGTCAAAAGAAACGCGATATCTAGCAGTGCCAATGCCTATGTGCCTGCTGCAACGGCAACATCAACTGCGACTTTGCTGGCCACCACCATCGGCGAAGCAGAATCGACTTTCAACGCATTGATGTTCAACGACTCATTCACAGAAAGTTACAATGGCAGCCTCTATGCCAGCAACAAAACCAGTGACAACGTCAACTTAACGGTACTCAACATCACCGATATCGTTTCGCAAAACAACAGAGATAAATGGTTAAGTCTATCGATATTCATTGTGAAAGGCTTCATATTCGCTCTGATTATTTCGGCAGCGGTGCTGGGCAATGCCTTGGTCATCATTTCAGTGCGCCGCAATCGGAAATTACGGTAAGTAAACTAAGTGACTCGCAGTTGCTGCAAGTAAACGGATGTAAAGAGGAAGTAAAAAATCAATGCAAGAGTGTATTCTTAGGCATTCATATTATTAAAAGTAGATTAAGTGAATTTTGAAGACACCGTTCAATTTATTTTTAGGTGCTAGCTTTTACTATATAATTCACTTTGAAAAAGCATCCAAGTTATGGAAATATGTATTTCCCAGAAGCCATTTAGACCACTAAAGATATGGTAAAAACCCCTTCTACCTGTAGTTTACATTCATTGTAAAAAAAATGGAGAGAAGAAGGTTCAGACGAAAAAAATGCATAACGGTGCATTAATGTTATTTACCGTAGGCATCGCTTTGCTGAATGGACTCTTCATTCTTCAATAAATAAATATGCCCTCGAGTATAAATTTAAAATTCCACCACTCTCTTACAATCAAGCTCTGCGATGGATGCCGCACATCTCTGCTTGCCTTCAGTGAACTGTAAATAACCTTCCACTTCATCATTTTACTTACGACCTCATTAACTTGTATTTACACAAACACCAACGCCAGCAACGCCAAACGGTGAAGTATACATCGTGGCGCATATACCTCCGCTTATGCGAATGAGATCCAGCCGTTGGCAAGAGTCGTTGGTAAAAGCAGGGTTAAAAATTTGCAAGACGTCCAGTAAACAATAATAAGGAAGTAGAACAAAGGCAAAAGCAAATATGTAGGATGGCATCATCTTAACGCTGATGTGAAACGAAGACGTAATAATCAAAATCTTAGAAAGCAAGTAGGAGACGACCGAGTTTGGCTGGCATACAATTTATGTGTGTCAGGACATTTAAGCCATTTTCCTAGTAATGAATATTCCGAAATGGTGGACCTATTGAACTGGAAGCTTAGAATACAAAGAGTTATAAGGAATATCAGTGGAGCTATGCTTCTGTTTTCTGTAAAGATTGAGGCCAATTCTTATCTAAAAGGTTGGGTTTAATTGGAAACCAATTAATAATTAACTGTAATCCGAATGCAGAATATGGAGATTTTCAAACTCATTTGCTCTTCTAAGAAGCTTTCGGAAAACTTCATACAAATTTTTTAAATATGTGCTTTCATCCATTATCATAATCATATTTATTAACATATCAAAAGAATGCACGAAGAAGTGTAACTTTCATCTTTCCGTTTTTCGTGCCATTGATAACTTAGACTGTAGCAGTGACCTTGAATAGAATTTACGCCAACAGCTAGACTATACTTTTCAGAATGCAATAATGTTCTCGAATGTAATTTATTATTGTACCCAAACACAGACAATGTAGAAAGAAGGGAAATAAACCACTATAAGTTCAGTTTTGCTTGCTTCGACATCACTTTAAAATAGCGCGTCTATTCTGCCTATTCTATTCTCTATTCTGCTGTTTAAATATTCATAAATATTCGAGCAAGCAATCCCACATTTAAGGTTCCATATTCACACACATACTCACCCTGGTTATTTCCTCTTCCTTGCAGCGTTATCACGAATTATTTCGTCGTCTCTTTGGCCATGGCAGACATGTTGGTGGCGTTGTGTGCGATGACATTTAATGCGACGGTGGAGCTCTCCGACGGCAAGTGGATGTTCGGCCGGTTCATGTGCAATGTGTACAACAGCCTGGATGTATACTTTTCCACGGCGAGTATTTTGCATTTGTGCTGTATCTCCGTTGATCGGTAAGTTCGCCATAAATTACACTCGGCCCCGTCATAATGCAAATAATATCGTGGCGTTGTTATTGTTTTCATTTAATTACTTTATGCGCTATTGGCTGGCAATTATTTTACACTTTTAATGGAAATAATTAAACCGAAACGTGTGCTAGACTCCTTGACATATAAATATGTATGTGTATATGAGAAATATCTATTGTCACTATAAAGAATCTGATGACCAAAATAAAAAACTTGAAAGCGCCACTTTTTAATTAAAAGAAAAATACAAAGTTTAATATAATAGTTAAAGTAAGTTAGTGAGTTATTAAAAAAGAGTAATTATTGAAGGCCCTCGATGTTTCTTCTATCGTACGCATCTGGGCATGAATCAAGGCGGTTACTTTGTTCGAAAACTAGTAGGCTACGGTTGCCTTTTATTTAAATAGCTGTTATATGCCACATCGCTCGAGACAGTTTATTTGCTTTTGCTTACACCGCTATTTTTAATCGGCTGTTTCATGTCAAGAACCAATTGACTCCACACAAAGTGGCCATTAATCAGTTTCACTGTTAGTTTTCAGTAGGAGTACAGGTGTATATGTTTGTGTGAGTATGCAGTTTGTGGCAGAAAACCGCGAAGACGCTCTCATTATTAGTTATTCCATCCATTTCCTCCTTCGCACGTGTTTGTCCAAATGCAGCTGCTACAAGCACTTAGTCGGCTTAAAGACAACGGCAACTGCTGTGCAAATAAGCCAACAACGAAGAACTTTGCGGTACGTTTCGGAAAGCGAAATTAATTAAACGCACTACAAGCAAATTTCACACCTGAAACTCACCGTTGCCTTATGGCAAACACTGACAAATATGCGAGAAGAAGTATTTTGATAACTCGAAGTGAAAGGAAAGTTGGAGAAAGGGAATGCTTAGAATATTTTTTAGTGATTTATTGGAGTGACGAGTATCAAAGATTATTGATAAATGACGGCGCAACGACAGACTTGAACAGCAGTCGCTGTTCAAATAAAACTACACTAAATACAAACAAAACTTAAATAAATGAAAACGATGTGGCAAATGAAATGATTAATGATATTGCTACAAATTCCACCACAAATGCAAACCACAATTTGTGGACGATTACTTGTGTTTGGAGCCGTTTAAAAGCTTGAAAGAGAATGAAAGTTTAATGTACTTCGGTTTTTATAGTGATGCCAGATCGACTAGTATACGAGATCATATGCTTACCAGCACTGTTAACTTTGATTGCTTTCAGATATTTCGCCATCGTCCGCCCACTCGAGTATCCACTGTACATGACAACTCATACTGTTTACTTTATGCTCGCTAATGTATGGATACTCCCAGCGCTTATATCGTTCACCCCCATCTTTCTGGGTTGGTATACGACAGCTGAACACCAGCGAGAAATCTCATTGCATCCGGATCAGTGTTCATTTGTGGTCAACAAGGCGTACGCAATCATTTCGAGTTCAGTCAGCTTCTGGATACCGGGCATCGTGATGCTCTGCATGTATTGGCGCATCTACAAGTAAGTTGGACGAATATCCGCGCCATAGATTATACTTAGCCTTGAAATTGTACTTATATGTTCGGTTTTTCACGCAGAGAAGCGGTGCGACAAAGGAAAGCTTTAAGTCGCACGAGTTCGAATATTCTGTTGAACAGTGTACACATGGGTCACACGCAATCGACCAACCTCAATTATTTGCACCCAAGCGATTGCGAACTAAGCGCTACGATAGCGCGTGAGGAGACACATAGCGCGATCAGCAATTTAGAGGTGAAAACACTAACTGTTGTACATAATGCTCCAATCGAAACGAAATGCTAGTTGCAAATGCTTAATGTTTATGAATTATGCTAGTTTTTATTAGCAACTCAATTTAAACTTACCATTTCTCCGCAGGATATACTGCCACAAACAACAGATGAAGACGATGAAAAAGATGACTGTGATGAATTGCGAGTGCCAGCTCCGCCGCGTCGTCTCAGCCGCAGTAGCATCGATTTGCGGGACTTGGAGCAAGAACGTTACGAGAGAGTCACGCACACCGATAGCGCTCCATCAATGATCGCACTACATCATGCTGCACAACAACAACAACAAAATGATGAGGACACGGCTCTTAATCCTCATATTTGGACAGAAGGTTTAGGAGAGCTACAGCAATCCGTTTGCATAACGAAACGATCCGCCTCTCCAATTAATTCTAGTCAAAATTCGCCGAAGCAATCCCCCAGCCAACGACAAAGCTATAGCAGTAAGCAATCTCTGCAGATGAGACAGAAATTGTTGGATTCAGAGGAATACCAACAGGTATTTGGCATGATGAGCGATGATAGTGAGACCACTGACTATTACGACAATATAATACATTTAAGAGTGAAGCAACAGCAGTTACAGGCCCCAGCAACATGCTTGCCAATCGCAGAGGATAATAAAGAACTAAAGCGCCTCATCGAAGACAGTTATTTGTATTTTAAGAAGCAAACGAATATGCAGGCTGATACTGAGCCAAGTGAGCAACAAGAGACTGCTAAAAATCGTAAATTCCCGGCGCATAGCGAAAGTGATTTTATCAAGATGAAAAACGGTCGCAATCGCAGTCGTAGTAGTGGCAGCAATGAAGGTAACGCCAAAAAACCGTGTGCCCTAAGCGATTCTGAGTTCCTCAAGTCATTGGCTGACTCCACAAGCAAGCGAAAACAACTGGAATCACTTACAGAAGGTGTTGTGAAAGAAGATAAGGACAAAGTAAAAGACAAGGGCTTTACATTTAAAGGTTTGTTAGCAAAAACGAAACGGTCGAGCACGGAATGTTTTTCTATCGAAAAGAAACGCCACCAGGCCACCTCTGAAGAGATACGCAGCAATCGTGCACAACTATTTCGACGGTCACGCAATCGCAAGCTGTCACATAGTTACAACGGAGCTATGAACCCTAGGCAGGAGATGCGTGCGCGCCAACACAGTGATACTGACTCAGAGGCCGGTTTCATCTATTATTCGTACAATATGGGAGACAGTCAGGAGAGTTCGGCTACACGCTACAACACTCCTGACATTTTACTCGATATCAATGTGTTAAACGAACAAACGGATGACTCTATAAAAGACAATATTTCAATTCGAACCCACGAATTCGAGATAACTACATCTCCATACGGACACAATAGCTCTGTGCAACTAATTGACTTAAGAGATTCTCACGAAGTAGCTTATAGCGGCTCAGACGACTTCTCACAATACACCGACTGTCTTACTGAGTCCCCACATATACCAGCTACACCGCCACCATCGCTATCGCCCTCCTCATTAACCGAAGTTCCTGAACAACCCATTAAATGCGCCATTGAACTGCCGGAGAAAAGCAATATTCTCATTACCTCGCGCACCGACCTGGTCGAGCTCTTCCGCTCTCTAAGTTTTCCCATTGCGGAGCTAGGGACTACCACCATCGATTCGCCACACCGTAAGTTCCTTTCGTCGTCCAACTCTACCGAATCTAAGTCAGGAAAGTCAGTAAATCAGATTAAACAGCGACTCAGCACACTCAGTGATCAAGTTTTAGTGACAAAGAATAGCACCAACTTTCTCATATCCCCACCGACAACACCAAACTTCACTTCCGCACAAAATTTACCAACAACAAAGGCGAATGCCTTCCCAAGCGCGCTGAGTAACACAGTAAACGTCTACTTTCTCTCACCACCACCAACAGCAACTTTGCAACCATTCCCGAACAACTCACCAACAAGCAATCCATTCACCAGTGGCTCTACCACATTATCCTTGGACGTACTCACCTCATTGTCAATGCCGACGTCTCAGAGTCAACAAGCCTTGGCCGTGCACGCAGCACCAACACCAGTGTCGCAATGCAAGTCGCCAAAACCAGAAATTATACTAGACTCTACACTCTCTCCCACTTCATTGCACAGTGGCAGTAATGGCGACATCGACGTTGGTGATGGTGGTCTACTCACCAGCGATGAAAAAGACTTGACTTCACCGTTATTCAAACGTCACGACAGCGAGCCAGAAACAACATCCACAACAATACGTCATCGCCCCAGCATACTAGCAGGAGGCGGAGCTTATAACGACAGCAACGGTCAATCGATACGCAAACGTCAGGCCTCGGTGGTGACGTATGATGTCAATGTCATTAATTTTTCACAGGACACTAGCGATAGCCGTAGCTACATACCAATGGGTCGAGTATCGACCAGCTCAGCAAGTAAGTAGTGCACGATTTTCACTTTAGAAGTCAATATTTCACGACGAATAGCGCACAAACTGCTAACAACACCAGCCACGTTTCGAAACCAATACACGCCACGTCAATATCGTCATCACCTATACCACTACCACCACTTTCCCCACCCCCTTCTACTCCTCCACCGCCAAAGTCGCCATTAGAGGAGTACAAACCGCTAGGGTCAGCCTCCTGAGACCGTTTATTATTGACACGGCGCCAATCGGTTGCCGGTTAAAGTCATTGCTCATAACTGAGCCCAAGTGAGCTTGTACTTCCATTATATTGGTCAAACACTTGTATGTCTACATATACGAGTATATGGGAAATTCAGATTTATATTACAAGTACGCACGTAATTGCCCCAATTAGACGGGTTTTAGTTGTCGACATGACCTTAAACTGCTTAAATGAACGCGATAGTGTTCATAATTCTCACGGTCCGAGTGGGGTTTGTACAATATGTTGGTAACGCGTACTGGTGGTCACAATGGCATTGCACCTCCGCTATTCTGATCCTTCCAATTGTGTTTTGCTATGTTTAGGTACTTTTGTTGTTGTTACTTTGATTATAATTTCGGTTTTTAATTTTTTTTTTTGATTTCGTTTAATTATATATACACATATGTATGTGTATGCATATAAATCAATTGTAAATGTTGTAACTTGCCTCACAAGTCTCACTGTTTGCTTCTCCATGTCGTTAACTCGTAAAATGATAAGACACACATACACCTATGAGATATTAGTGATACATAGTTGCCTCCGCCGTTGGCGTTGGACGCATTCGATCGAAAGCAACAGAAGTCAATGAAAATTTGAATGTTTTGTTTATCGCTGTTAGTATGACTAAGATGAGATTAGTATGACCAAGTAGGTCTGTTAACCTTGTATCACAAATATCAGCTATTTTATTTGTTTATAAATTATACGAGTATACCTACGAACAGAGAACAAAGCAGTAGGAACAGGTGTAACATACTGGACATCAGGAAAAAGTACTAAATGATTTCCTTTATTTTTTGGAAGAAATGACAGAAACTGGTACTTTCGGTATCCGAAAACTAAAGATAGATTAATGCCGATTTTCTATATTTTCGGTATAAATATGAATGCAATTCACTTCATAAAATCTCCTATATTGACCTATATGAGATAAAGTTTGTTGTGAATGGATTCCCTTATATGGATTTTGTACACATTTGCCCTCAGAGGTCAATATGGGAACGCCATTTGGAACTAATATCAGTCAAGATACGAAGTTTAATTTAATATTTTAAAACGGCAGGTTATGCCTAGAATTCGTAACGCACACTTAGAAAACTGAAGTTAAGCGGAAATTATTTGTGTTAAAGCCCCTATACTTAAGCCAAATTTTGTGGCCATATAATAATAACAATGTATTAACTGCATAATCATAAAAAAATTTAATATTTTGTTGCATCAGTTCTTTTTCGAAAATGTCATTTACTTTGTTAAGTTTGACGAAAAATTTACGCTTGAAATTAACCAATAACGTGCGGTTCAACTTTATTCTTTTGCCACACTTTGCATAAATGCATATCATAAACAAATATTCATTAATACAGGTATTTCTATCCAAAGTTGTTTCTGCCAGACCATCTGGAAATTAATATCTTGCCGGCATAAAAAATAAACACGCATGTTCTGCATGCTAGTAATTTACATTAAATTCGTATTGTAAATATGTTTACATATTTCAATTTCATACTTTCATAAATTCTAAATTGAACATTTATTCATCTTTTAATCGCCCCCTCTGTCGCCTTTTGTCCCACTGTCTTTTATATCTAATCTTGTAATTAGTTTTGTCATAGAGCTTTTGAGTCCTCTCCACCCTAACGAGTAAATGTAAATAATTAACATTCCAATATATCGCCCTGTATATTTTTCGTACTTCCACCAACAACAACAAATCAACAACCAACTAACTGTTAACTTCAAACTCCGTCGTGTAATACCAACCAACTTTATCTCGAATATATGTGTGTTTATGTGTAACCACTTGACAATTATGCCACTGCCCCGAACCGTCGACAACTGGACCACAACCGAAACATACGAACAGAGCCAGGGCCAACAGAAGTCGATTTCTCGCAAAAGTCGTCTCTCAAACGACGCGGTGGAATCTGCATATTTGTCGATGAGGAAGAGGCTATTAATATGATTGAACAAAAGACTGGTAGTGGCAACCAAGCCAAGTGCATCACCTTCGATACTGTGAACGTCGGCTACGAGAGCACCGATATGGCCAACGTGAAAGTCAATAAGGCGGTCGTTAAGTGCCAATTATGCGGCGCCAATACGAGGCCGCAATTGCTTTTACCCATTCCCGGCGGTCAGGGACAGGGTCACAGTCGAAGCGACAAACGTTTTTGGCACACGAATCGTTGGTGGCACAAACGCAAGAACCGCCAGCGAAGGTCGGAGGAATGCCAGTGCGGCGCTACCGGTGAGTGAGTGTTGTTAAGACGAGCACGTGATTGTGGAGATGTGTAAAAGGTCACATACATACTCCTACATACATTAAAAAATATAAATATAACAAAAATGATGAATTCAAACACATACAGACATGCATATTTATGTAAATGACCGGCCATAGATATCAAACCGCTGCTTGTACTTTTCACATAGCATCTGTAATTAGTAGAAATATTATTTGCATTCACATCCTATTATCACTTGCATACGATAGTGTACATACATGAGTAAGTATATACATAAGGACCAATTAGAAATGTACCTGTAGAGAACATGCGTTGACGGTCACTCGCAGAGATAAAGTCAAAATTTTTCAAAATCATTTCCGTCGCTATGGAAACCGATTCGTAAACTAATCGCTAACTATATACTGCTATCACCGAAATGAATTGTGTACAGAACGTGCGCTAAGAGAATGTGCTAAATACTGCATATGTAAATAGGTATACATCAGTGGAGTTGAAGAAGTGGTATACATATATATGTACATATGATTTTCGGTTGACGCACTAACTCCGGACCAAACAAAATTTCTCAAACAGTACTCTATGTACATATGCATATCGAATTGCTTTCTGTTAAGCCATATTTTTGCTTCTGTTGGTGTTATGCAACTGTTTGCCTACTGCAAAACTCTTTTACCGTAATTTCATCTAATTTCCTACATTTTTTTAATCTATATGTGACTACTTTTATCTATATATGTATGTGTGTGTAAATATATATATTTTTATACAAATAGCATCATACTAATAATAACTGATTGAATATCATATATATATAAATATAAAGGTGTTTGTTTAATATATAAAATGATCTCATTTCAATCGAAATAAAAATGATTCTTCAGTACCTCATCTTCTATAGGTAATAATTTCAAATTCGATACGCCAAAGCTTAGAGAACGCGGATCGAACATACATTAAATAGGCTAATGTAACCCAATACTAATAGAATATAACAATAATATTGAAATACTTATATGATATATATATAATGTATGCCGTCTGAAATGATAAAGAAACTTAAGAGTAATGTATGGGGTGCAGTTCTCTCAAAGTCAGTAGACATAATGTTCATAAAATTCAGTCAATTCGACAAAATTTCATAAGGCGAAAAAATAAAAAGAAAATGTCTTCACATTGAAGTGATTCTGCATAAAATTTATAAAACAGGTATCTTTGAGCTATTGGCAAGGTGTTATTTTTTAATAAACAAAATAAGGCATCTGAAAAACTTTGGGCTTCCAATACAACCTATTTCAAAGCTCTGTTATTGCCAGTTTCACTAACTGTGATATATTCACTTCTCTATAATCTAGGCACTGGTTTAGAAATTCCGAACACTTTCACTTTTATAATACAATAACAAAGCTCAAGTAAGAGTATAGCCGTCAACAGCTCACCAAACAATTTTTATGAAATCTTACGGGGAAGGAAAGTCGGTATATTCTAAAAAGTAAATAATATTATATATTGTGTATAATATTTTAATATTAGGTACACAATTCCGAAATGAATGGATTGTAATTGTATATCTCTTTTTTTAATAAATATAATTATGATACCAAGAACAAATAATCTAAAAATTTTTATTTAGCTCTGAAAAGCACCTAATATTTCTGTTCCTTGCACTATTTATATTGCAAACAAGATAAATATCTTTTCGTATAAATGACTATTAACGTATTATATACATATAAGTATTTACAAGTAAGTATTTCCATATACACAAGTAAATTAATTCTTATGCCTATACACAAATATACTCGCAGGTAACTTAGGTATACAAGTACGTTTTAAAAAAAATCCTCATATACCCGACGATGGGTACCGGTGCAGCACTATTGAAACTGTGGAAATACGTAAGTCATGAATCCAAGCAAATCTGAAAAAATCCGAGTTTCCATAAAAGGAAATCTTTAATGTGCCTTCAATGAACGTTTAATCCCGATGCTATAAATATGAGTCACATTTTTGAAAATCTATTTGTATCTATCTATAACTACATTTGAATAATATTTATCGATTGTGAGATTTAGAAACTTATTAATATCTGATTTTCAGGGTTGCCAATAATGCATTCAAAAAATACTTGCATAAAGATTTGAATTAAAACTTTATTATTTTTTAATCCCAAATACCTGATTATAACATAAAAAAAAATTTAATTCCACATACCGGATTAAAATAGATTAAACAATTTTTTTAACCGGGTTGGAAAATAAAAATAAAAATTTTAATCTTAAGCGTATAGTTAAGAATTAAAAAAAGAATTTTTTAGAATGAACATCTTGGATTAAATAAATAAAATTTAATTTTTAGCCCAACACCGAAATTAAAAAATTTAAATCTAATGTTTAATCCAAACTTTTTTAAATAAAAAATTCGCAACCCTGCTCAATAATGTTTCTAAAAAACATGTAAATTTTACTTACACGGTGTGTCTCAAAAATTACTGAACTATAGCATGTACATTATATTATCTCTGAAAGTTATTATTTAATCAAAATAGGTTCCACTGGACGCAGTACAACATTTGGAACGATTAGCCAGCGCATAAATAGATTTTTTTATGTCATCAAATATTAGTTCACCTTTTTGGTATTCACTTAAATGTGGAACAAAACGCGTACAGACCTTTCTTTCAACCAAACCTTCAGTTCTAATTCTCCAAATAATGTGTTTGCTCACATTTAATCCCTCAGCCAACAGTTTTCAATAATTTAACACGATTACCAACTTCGGAACAACCTGACCTTTATTCGTGATTTAAATCCTTATGACGATTTTAAATCATGTAAACCAGGTATAAACGTAAGTACAACTCATGTACTCATCACCATAAATTTTTTACATCAATTCATTTGTCTCAGCAATTTTTTCTTTCTCCAGTTTTATAAAAACTTTTATTTTCTCGATTTACATGAAGTTAGGTGCGTTTGAAAGAGGACGAATCGCATCTTTATAATGATACTGCTACATGTTGTATGATTTAAATATAAAGTTATTTATGAGACACACTGTGTATTCCTCCTTTTCGTCCTGGTGTACTTATATGGCATTCTCATATGTATCGATGTCTTCTAATAGACGTTAGGTATGAAAGAATCCAACCAAAATTGAATTTTATTGAATTATTTTCTTATGTTTATATGTATGTATGTATATATTTTTTTTTTCTAAAACGTATTCAAGGATCAGTTTCAAACTATTTCGCAAATATTAATGTCGTTTCCTCTGCCGCCATATCAACGGCTCCGTATTGTCTTATCAAAAATCGAACTCCACTTCTAAAAAGAATTCACAAATCAAATACCCTTCAACGAAAATATGATTATTTTGAAACAATCTGGAATCTGGAATTGTGACTTTTTCAAGATTAGTAAAATTATAACAATAGAATAAACAACTGATTTCTGATGAAGGGATCAGGTTGTTAAAATATTTACATATTATGACTATGTTTTCTATTTTTTTATACGTGTCAAAATCATGGTAAACTTTATTGGTGCTTTGCTCCTTCCGTCCTTTTCTCACTCTCTCGCTCGCTTGTAGTTGTTCGCCATCATTTTATCTGCTCGTATTTACTATCATTTAATATATCAATAAGGCATTTCTGTACCATTGTAAATATTCACTTACATTTTTCTTCGTTAATACCTCATACATAGCACATATATCACATATGTTTGTATATATCGCACATATCTCATCTTTCTTAGACCATTTTCAACTCCAGAAATAAAAATATTCTTGCTTAAATGCTTGCTTGAAGTTGTTTCCTCTAATCTAGAATATAGCTGACTATACTTTTTGCAAATCAACTTTAAAAACTTATGTTGCATTACACTAAAAATACTAAATATTTGTACGAATTTGCGTGTCTACACATTTTATTTCGAATAAGCTTTGCTTATAAATATGCATGTATTCACATGGATGAAATTTTCGTACTTTCTAGGCGGTTCGGTGCGACCGACGAAAGGCTGGAAGGCTGAACACAAAGCTGCGCGTACTTTGGGTATCATAATGGGTGTGTTTCTGCTCTGCTGGCTGCCTTTCTTCCTGTGGTGAGTAAATGAATAGAACAATAATAGACGATAATCCATTAAATAATAACTATACACATAATTCATAAAAAAAACTTACCACAATATTTGAATACGGCAGCAGCAACCCAAGTTTTGAACTCGTTTTGTTTATTTACGTCTTTTTTCATTAATATTATATACTTACATTCATATATTTATATACGAGTAAATATGTTTTCCATTTTGCATTTTAAATTGCTCCCTTTAAAGGTATGTAATAACTTCTCTGTGCGGTGCGGCCTGCCCTTGTCCGGATGTGGTCGTCGTGGTGCTTTTTTGGATCGGCTACTTCAACTCCACCCTTAACCCTCTGATCTACGCCTATTTCAACCGAGACTTTCGCGAAGCTTTCCGCAATACACTGGAATGTGTGATTCCATGTTTGCGCAAACGCAACCCCTACGACGCCTACTATGTGTAGTACGACAAGGTGGGGAGTGCTCATGCAAAAATGTAGTAAGTTTGTGTTCCTCATCCATGATACACCACTTGCACACAGGCATAGGCAGCATGTGTACCATGGCAAATATGTAATATAATATTAGCAGCTCGTGCTTCTTTCTACCATACTCAGCAAACAAGAGCACTTCAAACAGTTTATGTGATATGAATTTGTAAGTTAAAGTTAGCAAAAAGGTTATTATGTATAATTTTATGTACACACATTCTGAATAATAGACTACTGGACGTTGAATATTATGTATGTACTTAAATATATTTAGAAATTATGTATTTGAACTTGAGCAAACATGTGCGCTCGCATGCGTAGATAGAATCACCTCATAACACTTAGTAACAGATAAATTTTGAATTTAGTATTAAAATGTGCATATGCGTTAAATTGATGTATTGTACAAATACATACGTAGTTATCAGAAGTGCTAGTTAAATAGATATGTAGTAAAAAAGCAATACTTGTATAAATTATCCAAACGGATCTTGTTCAAAAGTCGTATGTAATATTTATTATGAACATGGGCTTAGTTATAAAAATACAGTTTATTTGATATGTATGAAAATAGAAAACTATGTTTGGTTAAATGAAACATGAGAATAGATCTGCAAAGAGAAATGCGATGGTATGTTGATTAATGTGCGTTCCTCATTCGTTTAGTAAAACTAAATCTACAAAGCGGAAGCTTCACTGGTTTCACCCGAACATAGAATAAAGGGGTTTCCCACTATTCTCAAATAACTGCTATCGTCGGCAATTCTAACATTTTTAAAAGTTTTCCATACTGATTCCATGAACTATTTTGCAACATATGCATATTCTCCCAAATATTCTGCAAAAGAGTTCTCAGTGCAAAATGTAGAGATTTTTCGTGCTGCTGTGACCAAGTAAGCAAGTTAACTTACTTGCAATTATATTCCTTTCCAATGATTTAGAACTCTATTTACGCAGAAACCTTATAAGTATAAAAGTACAATACTAAAGAATCCATTAGATAAAAATAAAAATTTTGAAATCGACTTAGCTCGTTAAGCCTTCATAAAAATTCTATAACTACATTGACATCAGTTAAAAATGTTTAATTTACTGCCGTTCAGAAATGAATTGGCCGATTGACGCAGTAGATGGGATAGACAGCCAACGCAGTGGAACACGCTTTGGAGATATTAGCAAATACGGGTATTTTGTAATCCCTCTTACCTACGCACACAAATAATTTAGGAGCCCTGCTGTGAAATGAACTAGTTGATAACTATCTAACTGCCTAATAAGAACCACAAGTCCTGCTAATGTCGCTTGTCACACAAGCAACTGGAAGTTTTTAAATTCAAATTCTAAATATTTAAAAACACGGTATTCCATTTGTATCACAAATAGCTTTATGATAAAATTTATCAGGTTGATTTATTGATTGCCTTAAATGAACTTAAACTAGAATATACCATACCTTGCTGTAGAAGTACTAATTTTTGTGGCTGAAAGTTTTATTTAATTTTACTTTATTTTTAGTTGTGTTAAATCATTTATGTCAAAACATGTTATTAATAAATTGTTTTATAAGTGAAAAAATCCATTTATCTCGGACAAGGTCATGTTCGATTCGTTTTATTTTTTTAACTAGTTCGATACTTCACGGCGGGGATGTTGAGGACACAGGTCGTAGGAATTGTACAAATAGTAGATCTACAGGATGTTGGTAGTTAAATATTAAATGTATTATACAGAGTTACAAAATAAAGTATTAAATGTCCTGCAATGAGCTGATGGCATATTGTAAAACTAAAGTTGCATATAAATATTTAAGTGGATGTGTTAGAATATTACTGTTTACATGTGTTTCGATATATCTACTATATAAATAAATACGATCAGATAGACCAAACAATTATTTATATCAATAATTAAGCAAAATAAAAGTATTTAGTAATTGCGGCAGAGAAGAAACGAAATCGATTGCGAAATTAAATATTATTTTGATGTAAATTTAAGTTATGAGTAAGCCTGCTTAACGTAGAAAACATTTAGATACTCAATTGTCGAGTATCTTAAAAAATCAAGCATAAAGACAATCCTCAAGATGGAAAAAAATACTGATGAGGTTATATTGAATAATTTAATGTGAATAAGTGTGTGTGCGAATGTGTTTAACTAGCTGACGTAAGGAGACAATGGCGAGAAGCAAAAATTATTGGTTCCCGCGTTTAACGAAGAATAGCTGACTTACTTTTTCAATCCTTGACATTTCATAAATTATCATAACCTAATTTTGACTTAACTTAACTTAATAAAAAGTGCGAAATTCGTAATCGTACAGCCGGAAATCTCATTACAACGTAAAACGTACATAAATATGCTCGAACATACAAACTTAAATGTTGAATTTCGGTTTGTACTACATTTTGAAATACACACTACTTTTTGTGATATTTATAGATTAATTTATGAAAGTATTATATTGAAATTCCAGTATATGGACAAGCTTATATGAATGGTAATCGAAAGAACTATGCTAAAAGAAACTATAAACATAACTATATATACTGCTTGATGAACTCAATTAACAACCGACATTTTGATATGTACAAAAAAGTGAAAAATGTTGCAATTTGTTGAAACATAAATGTTTTTTTTTTAAAACAACCCAAGAGCAGCTAATAAAAAATATTTTGAACGAAAAAATACGTGTTTTTGGGGTGAATTAAGAGTTTATTTTTGAGCAACCCTGCAATTCTGTCTTCAACTAATATAATACATATACAGATTAAGACTAAAGTTTATTCAGAATTATTTTCTTCCAATGTGAATATTGTTATCATAGATAGTTATGTTGCAAATTTGTCATATGTATATCAAAAGACTAGTGATACCCTTATTATTATTAAAATTAAACAAATTTGGCTTTCCGCACAAAACCATCTGCTGTGGCAATATAAACCCGTTTAAGCGTGCTACATACCAGCGCGTTCACACAACTGCCGACCTCCACTTCGCCAAGAGGTGTGGGTATCGCCTGTTCCAAATTAGTCCAACCTTTTACCTTGTTGTCATAGCCGCCACTAAAGACAGTATTCTCGTCTCCGCAGATCGCTTGAATGATCAATTCGTGGCAATTCTGAAAATATAGTACAGAATAGATATTTGAATATTCATTCGTATTTGGGGGAAAACGTAAAATGTTTGGCCCGAGAAACACACGGTTTCGACATAGAAACAGGGTGACAGGTTAGAGTATTTCAGAGTATATTCTGAATTATGTGGTTCACGATGAGAAATCGTGCAATCATCAACGAATGAGGTGAAAAAATTCCCTCTGGTTATTGTGGAAGTTTTGAAAAATTCTGCAGAACATCTTGTTTAGTTCTTCTTCAACCATGAAGGAAGTTATGAATTCTCGATGTCTACTAATGACGTTGTAAGATTAATCAAAGGCTTTTGGCAGAATTTTTAGGATTGTTCTCTCACAGAGTAACCTTTTATCCCAATTGTTTCCGATTAAATCACCACGACAACCAGTTATACTTTACTGAATTGATCAGTATTTTGTCCAGCCAAGGTTTGTCTTTTCGGCGATCTAACCGTGGTTGCATCGGTTAGTAGAATATGAATATGATCGTATCCCATGTAGCATAAACAAAAACAACGTAACCACTAAATGCTTGCACGAATATGCCCTTCTCGAAACTCGATTTAACGAACGTTAAGGTTAGTTGTCTCGAAATTATCGCGTTTTATTATACTTACCGGTAAATTCCAAACACTTTCGAATTTTTGTTGTGGCAGATTCTTTACGAGAGACAATCCTTTCCCACTACGATCGGCGAATACAAGGAAAGATCGTTTATCATTTATCACAGGACCTACTAGCGCTAACGGCGATTTTCCCGGCAAAACAGCCTTATTGCTATACTTGCCCGATTTGCCAGCAATCATGTCTGACACCACCACGTCCAAATCTCGAACTGTATATATAAGAGATTTCTCAGCCCCCAACGATTTAACCTCTTCAACCAGATTGTATTTGAATTTGATTTTATCATCTATCCAATTCGTAACTACCCCCTTCTCATCACCCGTATACAAAATATCACCGTCGCAGTACATCGCTTGGATGGCATCTTCGCAGCAGAAAAGCTGCGCCGTTTGATCGTAGGGTGGTGCGATAAATTTCACACAACCATCACAGCTGCTGGTGTATACTTTACCGTTATTTGAATTTACTGTCATCGCGTATATGTAACTGTCATGGGCATCCACGGATTTAATTAGATTCAAATCATTATCCCAAATCTGTAAAAGTGAACATTCATTGGAATAACATTAACGAATTCTACAACACCATTTCATATGTTCATAAGTATGTGGTCCACATGAATTGTCGTAAAACTAATTTGAAATATGTGACTTTAGTTTTTGTAAATATTTTTTTTTTATTGCATTTCATTTGCAATGCTATTAATTAAATATTATACTAACTTTGATTTTGCCATCGGCGCCGCCAGAGAACAGCTGGCTGTTGTGGTATGATAGGCAAGTGGTATCCCCCTCATGTCGTTCTGACGATTGTTTCTCTATCGTTGCCATTACTTCTGGAGGATTTAGTTCTGAAGCAAATACAATTATATATATTGTCCGCAAATCGTGTTAAACTTCAAACGAATGCACTTATTGTTGTGAGCTATTTAAGCAGTCTGATTGCAATACAATTTTATAAACGCTGTTTGCAGTTATTTAGAGCCATATATTTTCGTAAATACTAAATAAGCACTTTGTATATATGTTTTTATATCGCAACACTCGAAATTTTCCGAAATATTCGCATGCACTTCCAATCAAACATAAAAACACAACTAACGCTATTTCTTCTCAAAGGGCAATCGAATTTCGGAGCGTTGAGAAACCCACTTCTAAATTTAGCTACTCCCAAAAATAAAACTTTTGAATTGTGTAAATTAAAAAAGAGCATAACTTAAAAATGTAAAAATTCTACATTCATGCTTGGGTTTCCTCACAACAAAATAATTATGCTTTGGTAAATAGAGTAAGTATGGTTTTTATTAGACAGTAATTACATAAGTATATTCGTTTATTGATATTTTGGAGCACCTATCTTCCATATCTGCTCCTATCAATATCAAAAAGGGTTATTTTAATTGACCCACGGGAAGCAATCGCAAACTTCGAAGAATAGTTTGGTTATGAAAGAGCTTCTAATAAAATCAAGTATGGCTTAAACTTTGAGGGGCATCCATTTATAAGATATAATCAAGACATACTTATGTATGTACATACATATGTAAACAAAAGTTGGGCGAAGAACCTCTGCCAATCGTTAAGCGATGTGAAGGAGACAGTTATACATATCTTAAGAGGTGTTCAACTCGTAAAACCTTGAATTTACGAATAAAAAGAGCTTATACCACTCTAAGGATATACTTATCAACTCATTCACTAGTGTTTAGTTCATCCGAATAACTTCCAGTTACTTTCATAAGTAAATTCTATGAACAACGAAGAGAATTCCAACTTTGATAACTGAGAAGTGGTGAATCGAAAACATCGTTACTATTTTTATTTGTAAAATTGTTTAAAAATATTGTCCAGATTTATATATACATACATGTACATGATTATGTGTAAGAATGCAACTTAGTTTAATAAAAGACCTTGTTCCGATAAAAAATATACCTGTGTTATATATTACAAAAAAACAACAACAAAATTTAGAAATTTCGAATTTTTTCATAGTGTTAATTTCATTCAGATAAGCATTTTCATACAATTGACACTTTTGATCGCAAAAGCATTTTTCCCACCCCACCTATCGACAGAACAGTACAGGAATGACTTTTTGATTTCATGGAAAATTGCCAATCGTGGCTCTTAATTGACTGAAGTTGGTAGTTCCTTTTTGGGTGCTTAAAAGTTATTATTCACATTTTATTACGTATGCCGCTTCCTTCACGACATCTTAAAAAGATTGTTAACATAACAGGGCAATGTGCATCATTAAATATGGTATAGTTTGCTAGCAAAATTCATTTGAAATAAACAATTGCCTTGTGTGTTTAAGAAATGTTTCATTACTTTTTCGAACACGTGGCAACATTAAAAAAAACATGACAGCCACTTCGTTTTGACAAGTATCGACGTCGACGCAAATTAAGTTCTGTCAATGTCGAGCTTCGGGTGTGTGCGTGTGCAAAATATAAAAGTTGGTTGAAAAAATTTGTTTTCTTTAGTTTTTGGGTAATAAAACCGATTTTACAAAACTCAAAATGTACATTCAACTAAAGAACTGTTCAAAATCGTTCAATGATATATGTAAGTCATCTGCGTCTAAAAAACAGTGCAGACAATAAAAAAAAACCTATTCAACGTATCCGAAATATTTATGTTTTTATGCAGGAGTGAAAGGTGCATCAAGTCACTTAATGAGTGTGTTGTGAATTACGATAAGTATTGGTACAAACAAATTTAAATGTAGTAAAAATCCAAAAGAATACTAATATAATCAAAATCAGCGTACAAACGCAAAGAAAGCAAGACTTAAAAAAAAATCCAAAACCTCTAACCGCGATGAAGTTGAGGGAAAGTACTGGAGAGGCAGCGTTTTACTACGCTGTTCTGCTAACAGTGAATGTAACGTTGACGGCAATGGTGCTAATGGCGGCGTGTCTCTGGTGCAGGCGCCAACCTACAAAGTAAGTCGAATTGACCAATGTGTGCTGCTATAGTAATAGTAGATTTTGTTTTAAAGAAACCTTCATATTTGAGATATCCGTATGGTAATTGTAAGTGAAACTAAAAGAATTAATTTTATGTAATTTTTTTAGGAGTAGGTGGCATGCATAAACAATATTTCGTTAATATAGTATACATACAAATATATTTACACAATTTCATTGTACAATAAAATGTCGCCGCAATGACTACGTCAACAAAAAAAGTGCAACTCAGGGCTTACCCTGTCGTATATTTACAAAACATACATCAATTTGTATATGTACATATAAATGTGTAGCCCCCAGCCTTATAATGAAACTTGTAATGCTGTTACAATAAAAAATTATACTTTAATATATTATTATAAAGTTTTTTAGTGAAAGTGAATATGCTTATTCTTTTAGAGATGAGCTGGGAGGATTAGAAGGAATGGTCAAAATGACTAACCCAGATGACATAATGGAAGTTAAGGTGTTAGCAAATAGTGAATCGCAAACGGACCTAAATACTTCTGCTGTTTCAACTAGTGATTCAGAGAAACGGTAATTAATTATATACTCTCAATTTACAAATACAATCTGGAATATATTCGCTTATTTACCAGAGCAAGCACTGCAGCTCATCGAAGTCTACCAGACATACCAATTGTAGAAGGTAATGGCGATAATGGATCCGAACTCTACGAGACTGTGGCGGATAAGAACCATTTAGTTGAGGAAAACGACCAAAACCAAAGTCGTAAGTGAAATGGATGATTGTGAAATCATTAAATTATACTAATTATTACATAATGTATAGTAAGAATATTTATAATTATAATTTAATATAATTATTTAACAGAATTTTTTTTTAATTTCAGCTGCACCCAGTTTGAAGAAACAAATAAGCGTATCTCAACACAGTTCCATAAGCCAAGCAGATGACATTAGTTCGCCCTATTCCAGGGTTAGGAATCCACCTCATGACTATGCCAAAGTAAGACTTGTTTTCCAAAACATACACTTCGATTTGACATCTAATATTATGATGTATTTACTGTAAATCTGTGTTAAAGGTTCGCAACGCGGAACACCCCTATGCCCAGGTAAACCCACCGTCAACTTCCGCGGCAGCTGCTGCAGCAGCCATAGTGGCTGCTGGTAATAGTAATAGTAACGCCATTCACAGTAGTCAGCCTCCTCAGCTTAATGGCACAGTTTCGCGTAACTCAAATCACAGCAGTGCTTCACAAAATCTTAACGATTCAATATCTCACGCTGAAATCCCAGCTGCGTCGGCTATAGCCGGAATGATCTCAGCCAGTCAAGATCTTCCTTATATGACGCCGCCTATAATAAGTCAACACTTTAGTGGCGATTCACAAGATTCTTCAAGTAAAATTCATTCATATTCTTAAAAGCATTGTATTTTTAAAATAACGGTTTTTTCTAGAAGGTTACACTAGTATCAGCGTTCGAGAGCCCCTAGCCAATATACTAGCTCAGCAACCTCCGAAACAATCGCAGCGAGTAGCAGCTTTGACCCGTGAAACAAATGATTCACACTATGCGACTGTGTCTGATGATTCAGGTTAGATAAACAGTTTTGTTAAATGTTTACATGCACACAACTATTATTAATTATATTGTATTATAACCATATGCAGATGAAACTTATGCAGCTATCGAGGATCCGAATATTCGCAACAATCCAAATGTCCTAACTGACATTTACACAAGCGGCTCGGAGACATATGCACAAATCCAGCCCATGCAATCTAACTCTATGGTGGTATCGGTGGAAATTAATAACATAACCAGTAACGCTAATCCGAATTCTAATGAAGCACATATTAAAAAAGCCCAATCAGCAGACAATACAGCGATTACAGCGTCTGCATCAAACCAACATCATCAACAAACCACATTTGGTAGTCAGAGCCATTCTAGGCCTATTTCTGAACATGTTACCCCGATACCACCACCTGTAGACAGCTTGCGCACACAAAAGCACTCCAGACAGGCGTCCTCGTCATCAAACAACAGTTCTTCAATCTGTACATTAGGTTCACCAAAACCAGAAAAACGCCAAGCTAACTCTCCACTACCACCAACTCCCAAATCGAACATTACCTCAGGTCGAAGTTCGGTTATATCTGTCATTGAATGTGGCGGCGGTACTGGAGATATAAATATAAGCGGGATTTTAGCAGCGATGTCGAATACAGTAGTCATCGCTTCAACCGCATCAACTAATGCAGTCGACGGCTCACCGCAAAAGAATAAAACCAAAAGTCTAAGTCCGTCCAAAGATATCGAAGGAATGTACGCCAAGGTTAGCACCGAATTTAATCTATTTCAAATTACTCAATATAGAATTAGTGACGCGTTGTCAATTTGTTTTATAAACATAACCAAATTTCAGGTGATGAAGAAAAACAAATTGTCGCAGCACTCAGCTTCCTCTCAAAACAGCTCTCCAGTAATGGCCCGTAAAATTGGTGATCACCTCGGGATTAGTCCACTGGACATGGCGGCGGCAGAGCTAATGGAGTTGAATCGCGCTAACGTATTTTCGATTCAAAATCCCTCCGGTGATAAAAGTCGCATCCGCAGCAACAGTTATGGTGCCAAGGATCATGGTTATGAAACAATACCTGCGGATGGATTACACCGATCATCGGCTTTAGAAAATCGAAAATCGGATTGCTATAGCAGTATATTGCATAAAGAACGGCCAAAAGAGATGTGTAAGTAGCTCGCAGTCAATTGTAGCTTATTGTTTGTGTAAATAAATGAGAAACGGTTGACGTATGTTAAGTATTTTCTATTTGATGTACAATTTATTTAATTATTTCCTTCTCTCTCTCCTCCTACTCCCTCCAAATCGCTATGAAACTATACAAAATTTCTATGTTCCATAACTGAAAAATAACGCCTTTAGTTGCGCGTAAATGAGATATTTCAGCAGTTTTACTTTTAAGTCAACGAAAAATTCAGCAATATTTATTTGGAAGCAGCGGTTAGTATATATAAGCTATTTACTAATCCCAAATTAGTATTTCCGATAATAATTCATAATATTTTTTATGATCATGAAATTTGCATGTTTTTAACAATTAGAATTTACCCAAGTGTAAACTTTTAGGATTTGCTTCTCTGTACATCCACGACAAACACTGACTTTCTTTTTTCTTTGCTATCACTCACACCCAAATCACTTTTAAACTCTTAAAATATGAAATAATAATCAAATAGATGTTTAATTAAAAAATAATAATTTTAGAACTAATTATACTTAATTATAAAAAAGAATGACAAGTTTAATATATAACATAGATATAGATATGGGGATAAGTATAATTGTTTCGACACTATGTAGAATCACATATATGAGTGCATACTTTCATATGTATATATACGATGTAACATGGCCATATACTTACAAACATTAATTTTTACTCTCTTAAAACGATTTCGATAACAAATGGTGGGGCAAGTAGCGAGATTTGCATGTTCTTTTGCACTGGATCATTTTCCTATAAGTAATTATTAAATTTTGTCACCCACCTCATTCAAAAAAGCTTCAAATAATCAGATAATATTTAATTATCTTATATTTCTTTATTTTAGTACACATAACCAGTCCGTCTTCAGCAAAAATAAAACCACCGATAGGGTCAGACCTAAGTAGTGACAAACATTATGAGACTATTGCCGTGCCGCTTGATACAACGAACAACAGCGATCCCGGCTATGAAACCCTAGAGAAGCCAACCAAACCAAATCATTCACAAATAGATAACGGGAAGAAATTTTCTGACTATGATCCCAATTACGAAGTGCTTGAGGGTCCGAAGTCGACTGGCCTTTCCGATGATGGCTATGCTAAAATCAACGAAAGAAAGCCTTTGGCCGTCGACGAAGATTCTACTGATGGCTATAGCAAAGTAAAAGGTGAAGAAATCGAAGAAGGAGCCACAGGTGGTTACAGTATAATTGCAACCGATGCCAATCACAACTATGCCAGCATCGCCGAATCGAAAGCTGAAATAATTAGCGCCACCCCAGATACCGAAGACTCGGATCACTATGCTCGCATTGCTGAAGCACCGCGAATACCGCAATCTGCCTCTGAACTGCCACTCAGCAATACCCAACATTCATCAACGGCAAAGCTTGAGGTGAGCGTTATTTCTACTGGCACGCATGATACTCTAGCGATCACCTCACCTTCATCGGTCAACTCATCCTCATTGCTAGCCAACAGCTCCACATTGTCATCCACCAACGCGCTAACCGGCAGCAGCAGCACAGCCAGCTCGATGAGTTCACGACAAACTCCATCGACATCTTCGCAATATGAATCGCTTACAGGCAGCGAAGCGGATCCCAATTACGAAACCGTCTGCTATACAAACACAGAAAATGAAAATCCATACGAGAGGCTACAGACCGAATACTCCGATACACAACTGAGCAGCAGTAGTCCCCTAACGCCAGACGAGCTGCGTATACATACACACAATGCTACAGCAAGAATAATCGATGCCGGCAGCCCAAGCGCCTCGTCGACAGCAGCAACAGCAACAAACTCCAATTCAACAGTATTGTTAAAGTCGACAGGGAATGGGCTAACGCCAAAAACGGGACACGAGATACCAAGAGCAAAAATGCAAAGTACCAGTGAACTGAATTCCACAGATGTAGTAGTCGATGATTACTTTCAAGTTTAGTAAATTAATTAGAGTTTAATTGAGCTATAAGCAAATATTTTTTAGTAACAAATAAATATGTTAATATATTTATTATTATACTATGTTAAGATTATATGGGAGTGCTCCCATACGTATACCACGCGAACGCACTAAGTTCTTCCAAATGGATGTGACAGCAAAGCTGATGCCACTGCACGACACATTTCAAACACTTGTTTGTTGTTTTAGTGTAGTATTGTAAATGCCAGCAGTACATATCATTGAGTATGACGCTACTGCCTCAATTTTGGCATTTATTTTAAAAAACGAAGGAGCAGAAGGCTCTTCTAGCATTCAACCACAAATAAATCACACTTTGCGAAATATTCCCGAACTATATACATATAAACGCAGTCGCTTGGCTGTGCGTTAAATATTTTGTAAAATCATGTCAAACGTCCGTCGGCTCAATCTTTGGCTGAAGCCCAAGCTGACAATATGTAAATATAAAATAAGTATATTTTTTAATATTTTCACTCTTGCACACGTCTACGTAAGCATGTTAAAATATAAATCATTAAAATGTAGCTTTACATATGTGCATATGTATGTTATTATTTATTCATAGACAAATTAAACATTGTAAAAAATCGTCACGTGTCACACTTAACCATTTAATGCAACTATATATTTCTATATACCTATAGCATAGGCAAACGACCGCAGAAATTATTAAATATAACAACAGCCAAAATGTGAAAGTAATTCGAACAGTAATACGGTACGCCAATCGCCAAGCGACAAAGCAAGGTGTAATTAAGATTAAGATCTAAACAAATTAGTTTAGTACAATTACTGCAAATGATGCGACTTCAATTGAATGTTTTAAACATTAGCATTTAATCATTTGTGTATTTAAGAAGCGGCTTACCAATGTAATACTTGAGTTTATAGCACAATTTATTATTTGTATAATTTTTAAGAAATGTCTATTCTTTTATACTTTTGTATTGTTTACTGTTTTCTTCCTTTGGTATTTGTGCAAATTAATATATGTAATTTGTATAGTTAATAAAACGTGTTTATACTTGGAAAAATTCTCCATTGCTACATATCTTTTAAAATGTGTTCTTTTTTCGAATGTAAATTTTCGAAAATCCCACGTGACGCTAAGAAATACCTCTCACAGCTCACAACTCACAGGCATCAAGTTTTAATATACGGTTCAACTGCACCGTTAAGGTAAGATTGGAACCGTTACGACTGCGCGCAAGATTTAAGGTCCCCTAAAATATTGGATGCAGGGTGGTTGCTTAATATCTATTTGTGCGAAATTTAAAACATAATCTAGTACTCGATTTAAAAATTTTATTTATACATTTTTAATGTTTACAATTTCACATCCAATTTTCTTTTGTATATAGTAATGAGCATGCTTATATTTTAATTTATACATATGTAAGAAAGTAACATTATAAAAATTTGGTAATTATATGTGTATATTTCGATATATTGAGACAAAAAGTGTGCTTCATAAACGAGTAGAATGCATTTGTCTAAGGATATTGTACAAATGATCACCTTTAAAAATCACTTCAACAAAATATAAGAATAACGTCAAGTTATTTTAAAATATTGAGGAAAGGCGCCCCAATTTTATAGTGCAACTCCACCTTTCCAAGGTCCTTGCAGAGTTCCTGCTGTGATATAACGTAACAAGCAAACATATATAATCGAGCAGAGCATTATTTTCAACAATTTGGGAATATACTCAATTATAAGTCTAAACATTAGCAAGGATGAGGCACGTCCAAGCAACGACACCTCTGCAACAGCAATAGCCATTGCTGCCAAACTACACGCGTCTTCCGCATTTCAATCCACGTTGTTACCAATGCCTTGCGATGCTGGCTGTTGTGGGGGAGAATAGTGCTGTTGTTGGTGCTGCTGCAATTGTTGTAGCTGTTGTTGTTGTTGGGTTTGATGCTGTTGCGGCAGAAGTTGCGGAACCACATTGAAGGCACCTTGCTGTGATTGAGCTTGGGGCTGTTGTTGTAGTGGTGTTTGTTGTTGGTGCTGGTTGTGCAGCTGATTAAGCAGAGCTACATTGCTCGCCTTCATACGAGCTATTGCGGCGTTTGCCATGCCTCCAACCATCGATAAACACGGTGACATACAAGGCGTTGAGCTGAGACTATTACTGATTTCACATTGGTCAAGTAGGCGGAGAAGCTCGTATGTGTCTGGTCCGCCAAAGGTATTCTGTTGTGGTTCACCTTTTGAAAATAACGCCAACGCTGTAGTAAGATCCCACATTTGAATAACACCATTACAGTGCCCTGTCAAAATAAATCGTGAACCCATACGAGACGAGACTTCACACTCGTGCACACAGAAAGAAGTGATAGTTGAACTATCCACCGACTTTATAATGCAAACACGATCACCATTTGAAGCTAAACGTACATAAAGCTGATCCGTTTCGGGGACAACTTTTTGCACAAAGATCTGTTCATCATAATCGCCATAGGGACCAAAATCGTTGCCAGCTGCATAACTGTAATGTGAATCAGTAGCTTCGAGTGACACTATTTTAAAAGAGGCCTCTGGTGTCGATCCAGGTTGTGTAGAGAGCATGCCACGAAAACGAGTTAGGGACCAAGTGCGTACATGATGATATTCACTGCAAACGGATATTAGATATTTCTCCGAGAGGGTAACCTGGGAACAATTTCGGTAAACATAACTCAGTACAATGAAAATATGAAACGCATACCTTAGTTACGGGACTTTGATGTACAGTAAAGGTTTCAAATAAATGTGGACCGTGACCGGCAGTCTCCGGGTGTTGTACAATAATACGCACTGCACCCGATTTCGTTCCATATGCTATCTCTATCCAATTTCCACTTATACCTGAAACAGCATGAATTGTGAATATTATAAATTTCTGTTTTGATAGGCTATTTAATCACTTACTGGAGGTTTTTGGAGTAAGATATACGGAAATTGCTGTAATTGGGTCCAAGTTTGGATCCTTATACAGTTCAGTCACCAATAAGTCATTATCCTTCATACGAAGTGGAAACTTTTGCATATCTGCGAGCATAGAAAATGTTTGTAACTGAGGGTGTGTTTCGAAAATACATGTAGCTTATTTATCTAATCCAAGTAAGTACCTATATAATAAATTGAACCGTTGTTACAGCCAAGAAGTAAAAACGAACCAGCCGAGTCAAAAGATAGCACTGGAACCAAATCCTGAATTTGCCAATGTTGTGTCATCGCGTGCCAAACACCGATTTTTCCAGACGATGACAAAGCAACTAATTGACTGCCGATGAAAAATAAATATTCAACTCGAACATTTAAATTGAAAGTTCCTACATCGGTCTTATTGCCCCCCTCATGTATGCTCCAAAGGCGTATTTGACTACCATATGATATGGCTACCATCTTACTCGGAGTAGGTTCAGCAGTGGATGTGTTGACTTTTGAGTTGATTGCCATACGTTCGATGGTTGCATCGATATGAGGCGATGTGAAGACTAGTTGCCATCCACTTGAATCCTTAACGCGATAACAAGTTACAAAATGAGCATATGCTACTGCAATCCAGTTTTGATGGGCCTTGATTATTTGAACACGTAGTGGATCGACCCAGTTTGATGTCAATGTTGGGCTGAAGACTAGGCCTACATCATTCCGTATTATCTTATTGAGGTCGGCAGATGAATTTCGAGAATGACGCATATAATCAAGAGATGCAGTACGTGAGTGTGTAGACGACGGAACCGCAGGACCCCAATTTCGTACTTCCCCGCCGACATTGACGTTTGGTCGTCCGCAACGCAAGTCCCAAGAAGAGTTCCGTGAATGCGATGACGAATGTCTACTCGATGTAGATGCTGTTTCTGGAACACGAACCATCGAACCAGGTCGAGCGTTAGCAATGGAAGAGGACATAATCCCGTTTGAAGTTGATGGCAAGCAAGGTTCCATAGATCCTGACGTTGCCAGTATATTATAAGAACCATTGGAAGATCTATAAGAAGGTAAATCGGTAACACCACCAGAACGGTCTTCAAGAACCACTGGGCCGGTCGATGTTACTGTCGTATGAATTAAATCATTTGATGGCATCATTGGCGCTGGCAAATAACCATAAAACAGTACATCGCCACATGATGAATGATTCAAGTCTTCACAAAGCGCTAACCGCTTGACCAGCGGAGTGATGCCATAGTACTCCGATTCATGCCTTAATGCTCGGATTTCACAATTCTTGATGTCAATATCCTTGGTTCGCAAATAGTTCAAAATGATTGAGAACAACGAAGGATCACGATCTATGAATATAGCACCAGTTTCATCGCGTAAACTCGAAATGCGTCCGCTTAGCAGCGCTGTGAAAAATGTATCTGGTATCCACGTCAGCGTTTGACGTGATGTAGAAAATCTGTAATGTACCACGAATATGTCAAAAAAAACCAAACTTTTACACACTAAAAATAACAAATATATACTGAATAAGTCTATATTGGACAATTGTTAGCTTATCTCACTGTACAGATAAATATATATTTTTACCGCTGTCCTCCAACATTTAAATTTATCAGGTCGCCATTATGTGGAAGGTAGGCCATCGTATTGTTGATAGCGCCTGTATAGAATTGCTGGTGCTGCTGCAACAGTTATCTGTTTTCGTTGCACCTATCGTTATAACTATAATGTTTCTCTCACTTAAAACGTATTTATTCTATAACTTTTCCAAAGTTTATACTTCAGAAATAATTCAGAATCTTCGCATTGATCCCACCAAATAAACTTTTTAGTTCTGATATGTATGCAAGTATATTCAGCCTCGAATTTTCAAGTAAAAATTACTTATGGAATGCAGAAAAAAATTATGCTGCAAAAGTGAGTACTGTTGACGTTTTTGAGTTCTTTATGCCGCAATGTTGCCAGAGCACAAAAAGGGAAGTTTTTATGAACATGTACACACTGAAATTAAATAAGTCTCATTGCACCCAATCAAATCTGTTAAAAATAAAAAAATTAATTTTAAAAATTAATTTAAAATTTCTAATAAATCAACTCTGATGAAACCATTTTTTACGCATTTGAAAAACGTAATTAATAATTTTTTCGTAAACAGCAATGAGTTTGTACTTAAAACTTCCAACACACTCCACAAATCTTCCTTTTTCTCATGTATTGTCTTTATTCGTTCACCGCATTTTACTTTGTAGCGGATTACTAACGAACTGAGAAATGTTTCTCAAGAAACTTTCGTGCATATGCTCATTCGAATAACAATTAAAAATGTGCGAAATGCTTATATTCGATATCCAACTGTTTTCGTTTGGTTGACACAAACACGGAAATTAATCACGATCCACGTACTACGGCTTAAACTTATTCAAATATTTCGAAAATTTATTGATATCCGGTTCGTATGAATATTAAACGAATAGTATTATTTGAATAGTCGTAACATTGTGACTATTCGAATAGTCGTTCTTCATCGAGTATTTGAATAAATGAAAATTGTTTGAAATCCAAGCAGCCTTTGATTTTTTTTTTTATTGAACGGTTAACCTAATAGTCGAAAATGAGCGGTTAATCGAATAACCGACACCTTACGAATATCCGGAGAGTGCAAGCCGAATATTGTTATTCAAAGAATTCCCTATCCGGTTAATCTTCTTATAATACGTTAGTCAATTAGTCGAACACCAAGAGCTCTACCACGTAGCCTTCAATGTTATTTGCCAAACTTCCCATTAATTCCAAAATTCCCCTAACAGTGATTTATCGGCGTTTCGTTTTTACGATGTCCGAACTGGCTGACGTTTACATTTACTTTACCTAGTTCATGTTTTACACTGTTTCGAATTCGCGCCGGTGGGTCTCTCGTTATGACGCAAACGTCTGCTTAAAACTACCAAGATCTTTCCCTCATAATCCTTTAAATAAATTAATTATTTTTACTAATATTTAATTTTTCTTGAAACATGTCTCGTAATTTCTCACCATGAAATTATTACCTGTTGAGGAGCAAGTTTTCTCGGTAAAACCGGGTCCGCATTTTCTAGAAGCATGCTAAAATGTCCATAAACTTAAATAGTTAAAAAACTCTTTTTTCAATTGGTTTTAAGTAAACTTTAATGTGTAATCAATATTATATCTATGTATGTATCCATATTGTTAATACGTAATTACGTACAAATAATGTATGTATGCTTTTTTTCTTTTTATGTTATTTGTTCTTTCAAACACTTATATGAGATATAATGTTACTGGTTATGTTGTCGGTGATTCATTGTTAAACCAATTGTTTACTCATCTTTTTTCATTACCAAAAAATAATGACTCGATCCGACCAGTCATTTCTTGAGGACAACCATTTAAATCTACTGACAGGAGCATTTGTTCCATTGGGCAAAAATGTAAAAGGCCTTTGCCTTCGTTGATAATTCACTCTTCCAAATTAGTTTTTCTCTATTGCCATACTTTTTATTTGCCCGTACTTTCAATGTTAATCAACGTTCATTGCACTCAGATTTGAGCATTTACTTCTACGGCTAATTGAATAAAGTCATTTATTCGTTTTATTCTTGATACTTCGAAAAGCACATAGAAAAACCAAGGGACTGAGTCAAGACTTGCCAACTCTACTCTGATTTTTAGGAGTAGTAAGAGACAGCATATATGCCAATAGAACAAATTATGTAAAAAAAAAATACTACTGAAGAGTTCTTTCGCCTTTCTTGCAAATAGCAAATGATGAGAGACTGACAAGTGCATAATATTGCTCCGTTACGACCTTATAAAAGTAGTCAAACTTACAATCCTACAGAAAGCAAAAAAAATTTGGGGCTATGACGATAAGAGACTTTCTGGAGAGTACAAAGAGGATATTATCTTTAATGTAATATCCTCTTGACTGTAAGTAAGACGTATTAAGCTTGGTTTAGTGGAGTATTGTGAATGAAAGTCATACCACAAAAATTAAAAAAATTTTTTAGAGCGCGATAAGTACACTAAGTTGTCATTTATGTATTATATCTGGTTTCCAAATAAAAAAAAAAAGAACATGTAAAGTTTATAATTGTTTCCTAAAAGTCATTTTGTCCTAAATGAGTCAGTCTCACCGTTGTAACTCATGTAAGTCAGCTCTACGTAACCAGAACTCAAAAAACTTTGGGAGCATGATCTATGTCATTACAACAGCAACAAGGATCAGTCTTACAACAGCTGATATTCCTTTAAAATATTCTTTTCTGAATTATCTAACTTTGTTTAGTTGCGGTTATTGTATATTGTTATGGAACTCACACTTTCGAGTGATAGCTCACCAAAGAAAGAAATACTACTACATATGTTTTGACAGTTTGTTTCCAAGCAAATATGTTGTTCACAGATTCGATAAATGTTCCTATGACATATACGGGATAGTCTGCATGCAGCCTTTGGATATTTTTGAACGTATAATTATGGTACAGCATGGCGTTTACATACATATCAGCTTATTCTATTAATATTCTATTTAACTTTACTTAAATCCTAAATGACACACTGGAGCACATAAAAATCATTTTAATATAGAATTTACATTCGGTGTGAAAAATTAAATGAAAGGCATACGTTTAAGGATAATTCACATAAAATGTGTTTTTAGTTAAAAAAAAAAAAACATTTTAACAAAAAGACAAACAATTAAAAAATGTGTATATAAAAATAGTAATGGTAACATTAAAAACATGTAGTCACTTTTCATTACATATCAAATGGTAATATTAGTGTGTCTTATCTGGCACTCATACATACATATATGTATTCTTAATTAATTACTTTGACTATAACTATAGCTGGGGCAGAGTAAAAAATATTTATCATTTTTTTTGAAAATTTTCTGGTACACGGCGCGTGCGCTGCTAAGCCCCGTTATATTGCTCATTCCTTACTTATGCATATGCAAATATGTATGTTTAGTTGTTACAATTGTGCAGAGCCGTAGTTGCTCATATCTAAATATCCATACAATATGTTCTATAATATATATATGTACATATGTATATATAGTGTATAAAATTTTTGATTTCGCAAAATTAAAAATTATTGTAATACTTAGAAATTGCTTCACATACACTACAGCTACTACACACTAAATATGTGGACATCTACTGGACGAAACTGAGGTTAAAATGAAACAAAATTACCCCTTTATTCTATGAAATACGTATGTATATATGTGTGTACGTTGATATTGAATGCAAGTAGTGCGATAATGCGAATACCGTTAATATATAGATAAATATCTTTTATAACCTAATAACTAATGTAAGAACATTGTACATACATTTAATTGCATGACGGACATTTTTTTTATGCTAAATATATGTACATATGTGTCTGATATATCCATCATGAGATGATGGCAATTTACATGCTTATTTTTTTAAATATATTATTTCCATTATTTGTGTTACAAAAAGTTGAATTGGCAAACAATTTGCGAAAAGTTCACTGGATTTATGTAATACATTTAATGCTTTGATAGTTGTCTTAAGAATTTATATTGTATGGCCTAAATGATGCAACTAAAAATATAAGCTTTGTATATATTAAAAACTATAAATAGGTTTGACAATCTACAAGTTTTTCGATCATAAATTATCAATTGTGTAGGCTAACTCTCGTAATGTCACAATATGCATGTGTGTGTGGGATATACAACTATGTGCTTTTGTGTTTTTACTCTGTGCGAATGCCTAAACGAAAATGAATATGATCTACTTCTATTATAAGCGTGAATATTGATCACTTAATTGTCTCTAATTGCACATTCCTTGATTTCCAAAGCGCGGATTAAATTTTTATATATAGATTAGAATTATTTCCGGTATTTATACTTTCACTTGTAATACACAATCTATACAATTTGTACGAAGAAATTGTAACTAAATTACAAGATATTCTATACTTAAGTTTTTTTCTTACATTTATGAATACATATAACACCAAAAAAGATGGCTCGTTCCTAAATGGTCAATCAATATACTAAGGATGTTAATTTATAAAATTTGAAACGAGCACTTAATATATTTTAAAGCAAAGAGTTTAACTTATACGACAAATTTAATTTCCGATTTATTATACACAAAAATGTGTATAAAACAATATGCACACAAATATAGAAAACACGTAAAAACAAAAACTATTCGAGTTTATGCTTATGTAAATTTCAATGCTCTTATTTAATGTTATTAGCAGATTTGTAAATTGAATTCAATTGACACTCATAGATTTGATATTAAGAAGTATACTACCATACCGAGCAGGACTACTAGGACCTATGGGGTCCGCCATCCTTATGTCAGTATGAAAAAATTGAAATTCGAATTTAAAAACGCAACCACCAAGTCAAACCAGTTGACATCAAGACCACTTCCTTGCATTTGTTACTTCGCTCCACACAACTTCCTTCAAGAAATCAGCCGCTATCAGGCTTTCGAACGATTGTTTGACCTATTCCAAGTGATCAGCTTCAATCAGTTCAATCTCGAGCTCAACAAATTTGAGGTTAGCAAAAGATGTCTAACCAACTCAATTGTTTAGGTAAACGCTGTTTATTAAATGTTTATATACCGACATAAAAGACGGCACACCTTGTCACGTTCTCGTATACTAGCTTTTTTCAATCAAAGTCAATAGGGTCGAATGGCCTATTAGATGAAAGGTCAAAAAATGGCATCCGACTTTCTTATACTCTCTTACTAGATCGTTAATTCGAATCAATCTTCATTTTTTCAGTCCAGTTCATTTATATTAGATTATTGGTATTTATTAATAGATAAATGATATTAGTTCACCATAAGAGTATGAGATTCCATCGGAGCTGCTGAGTCATACAGAGTATCCGTATCCTGAGTGGGTTCGCCTTGCAATTGACACTGATTCGAAAGCGTACCAGCACCGCAATCACAAAAAAAGCTGAATAGTTAAAAAAAGAAATGTGCGAACATTAATTACAATAATAAATAAACTCATACATATGTATGTATATACAAATAAGCACTAACAATGTAATGTTGTCTACTTGAACATACTTAAAGGCTTTCCATTTGAACTTACCGGTCATGTCGTATAAATTCCACATCATGGCCTGCGTGACAATTCTTAATGCAATTGACACAAATCGCATTGCGGTCAGTGGTATTACAGGTTTGACAACGATAGAAGTCGTGCATGGGAAATGATGTATAACTGCTAATTTTGTACAGACACTGCCCTCCGGAGACTGCCTTTTCGACTTCGTCCTCGTTGTTAAATATATTATTGCCGCGTATAATGGGCTGAACACCGCTCGCCAGGCATAATCCACCGAATTTATTTTTAAATATTTGATTATGCTCTAATGTCGCAGTTGCATTGTTGGTGATTTCGACTCCAGCTGCCTGACCATCGTAAATACGATTGCGTCTCAGAATTGGATGAGATTGAGTAGAAATGAGAACACCAGCCTGGGTATTGCGAAAGATGTCGTTCTCTTCAAGAATACCTTTGCCACCATTAAATATACAAATGCCGCCGTCGCGCCCATCATATATCTTATTGCGTTTCAACGTCGGATTTGAATCAGTTTTTATCCACACCCCAGCCATTGCATTATCAAATATTTCATTTTGCTCTAATAAACCGAGACCCCCATTGTAAACTAATACACCACCGTTTTGTCCGCCCCAAATTTTATTTCCACGTATAACGGGATTACTGCCAGTACGTATTTGTACACCCGAGTACAGGTGATTGAAGATGTCGTTGTCCTCAAGTTTTCCATGGCCATTATCATAAAAATATACACCCACCTACAACAAGAGACGTTATGAATTAAACCGATTTCGATTCGGGTTCCAAATGACAACATAGTTAATTAAGTACTCTCATCTACACATTTCTACTTATTTATGCGGAATAAAACTGAATGGAAATACTTTAATTTTGTCGCTGTTCCTACGACAGTCGGTCTAGGTAACCTAAAGGGTCTCAGACTCTCATCAAGCCAAAAGCTGCCAGCTAAACAGTATTATTTCGTCAGGTCTACAGGGAGCGGTTTAAAAACAGTTTAAACAAGTAAGGAAGGGCTAAGTTCGGATGTAACCGAACATTTTATACTCGCACAAAGTCAAATGGTATTCTCGTTTTAGATTTCTTTGTGGATCTTGCCGTCTTGTTCTATGTTGACCGATATTTTCGGTAAAAAGTCAACTATAGGCACTAGTCCACATATTCAGTACCTAGGGGCTTGAACAGTTTTGGTTCAATTTAGAGAAATTTTGGTCACAAGGTGGCATATTTTAAACGCATTATTCGCGCAGAGTTTAACCCCGATACAATCATTGTTGCTTGATTTGCATACTGGAAAGTGAAAGAATCAAATGGAATTTAAAATGGTGTTATATGGGAAATAGGCGTGGTTGTCACCCGATTTCAACTATTTTCACACTGTAGGTAGGGTGCTAAAAACATTTGCTTCCAGTGAATTTTGTTATTATAGCTTTAATAGTTTAGGAGATATGCACATTAAAACTATTACGGGCGACACCACGCCCACATAAAAAAAAAAATTTAACTACAGATGCCCCTCCTTAATGTGATCCTGTGTACCAAATAACAGGCGGAGCTTAGGCATGATTAGGTTCTGCGTTCACGTGGTTCCCGCTCTTAGGCTCTTTACCGAAAATATGCGAAAAATTGAGATATAACATATGTTTTCGACATTTGTCTCTCTGTTTACTTGAACGTATCCTTATTTTCCAAACCAAGTTGATATTATATAAATATATGATATTTTGTTTCATGTTTTCTGATTTTTGCAATGTAAAATGAAAATAGAGCTTTAAAAATAAACGGGAGCAAATTTTTTTCCGATACAAAATCATTGAATTGTGAGCACAAATATATCCAAAATCGATCTTATATCGAGGCCAACAAAACTACTGTAGACCAGTGTAATTAATTTTTTTGAAAAAAGAACAGCGCGCAAAGTACGCGAGCAGGGAAATAGCGAGTCGAAGACAGCATCTCTTGATCGATACATTTACTCAAATGTGATGGGGTGATGGGATTCAATACAAAATTATACTCGTATATCTAAAAAGAGTGTGTGCTAAGTACTGTAAGAATAGTGTCTAAGTATCTAATACTCTTCAAGTTTATATTTATAAAGCGGTTTTCCGCAAATTTGAACATTATGAAGTTATTTGTATTACAGCTTACATTTTTGTATATTTTCTTCGACATTCATATGAATCATATCAAGTTGCAAATCTTGACTGAGTCGTTTAGTGAACTCTTCAAATGATTGTTTTTAAACAATATATCTATTTTCACACGACTATCACTGCACAGACAGACAGAAGTGTCGACCCGCTCCCACGACAGTCGGGTCTACGTAACCGGATTTTATCCGACCAAGGACTGTCAACTTGGCAAAATTCTACCGCTACAACAACAACAACAGAAATGTCGACAGATAGTCCTAAAAGATATGGCTTAACCATTGCGTATCTTTATTGTCAAAATTTTGGTATATAACAACCGATATACATAATCCAAAACTATTTAAATTATATATCCCACTCAAAAAGTTCAGATCTGTTAGTTTCCTTAAAAAAGGCAAGTAATTACATTAATTACTAAACTAGCTCACTCACCTGTTTTCCAGAATGTATGCGATTTCGGCGCAAAACTGGAGTACTGCCTGTTGTTATCCAGACACCTGCCAATGTGTTGGAATAAACTTCGTTTTCTTCAATAAGACCTTGCCCCTTTTCATGTACGTATATACCCCCATGTTGGCCGTGATGGATTTTATTATGACGCACTATCGGATCACTATTTGTTCGTATCTGTATACCAGCCAAAGCATTGCCATATATATTATTATGCTCGATAAGCCCACGACCTTCTCCAAATATGTATACGCCACCTTGATGCCCATTATATATTTCATTCTTGCGTATAGTGGGATTACTATTTGAAGTTATCCAGACGCCTAATTTAAATTAAAATCATGTTAATTTAAATATTTATTTGATATAAATAACTAAATGTATAGAGTCCCTGCCCACATAGGTATTATTTTATTTACCTGCAAAATTATTTGAGTGTATGCGATTCTCAATGAACTGTCCCAAACCATTCTCATGCACATAAATTCCGCCGGTTTGTCCATGATGTATCTCACATTTGACTACAGTAGGGTTTGCACCTGCTTTCACTTCAAAACCAGCAATGCGATTGTTGTGTATATCGTTCTTCTCAAAGTAACCCTATAAAGGAATTTCGATTAGATTTTATTAATTACCATTATAATAATTTTCTATTACAGGTTATGACTTTAGTAAAATATTACATGTATTATGTACATATGTTCAGTTCATTTACAAAAATCTTTTATACTCACCATGCCGTTTTCAAATGTAAATATGCCCACATCGCGTCCATGATGAATGTGATTCTCTCGCATAATAGGACTGGCAAAGTTCTTTACCCATATTCCGGCCAAAGCATTGCGACTTATTTCATTGTGCTCATAAGTTCCTTGAGCATAGTCCGTTACATAAAGACCAACATTCTCACAATCGCTTATATCGCAGTTGCGTATGACAGGATTAGCATTAACACCGCTAACACAAACAGCTGCGCCCACAACCGATGAGCTGCGTATAATGCAGTTATCTACTGTTGGTGAGCAATTCTCTCCAATATCCAAACAATAATGTTTATGATGAGACACCGTGGATGTGACATCAGGAGAGAACTTCAACGTCAAATAGCCAACATAAGCATATTTGGCACCTTCAACAAACATCATAGTGGAACCCGCTTCACGTTCTAATATGACGGATTCGGCCACGTTTCCAGATGCTGCACCAATCAAAGCTACATCCGATTCTATATACAAATATTCGCCTTTGTAATGACCAGCATGTAGGAAGATAAGTGGCCCTGGATGATCCGCGGGTTGTATATTTTCTTCATAAATGTTCGCTACTGCACTAATATTACTACCAAAATTGCTTGCATTAGCAATACCTCCAGATGCATTTGAGTTGCTTGAACTAGCAATTGCTGCAGCTGCGGCACGTTCTTCAGGATAGTCCAACGCTCCTTGTATTGTATTGAAGAATAATATACTACGACCGGAGTACTTTTTATCCTTTAAAAGTAAGGTTACAAAATTATTAAATAAAAAACAATCTTGGAGTAAAACATAAAAGAAACTAGATAATACTTATACCTGAAAACCTGCACGAACATGTACGCCACGGTAAAGTTGACGGAAACTCTCTTTCCATGGATTGGTAAACTCAGATTCTTCTGGTTTTTCAAAGACGAATTTACATAGTTCGGAATTAAATAGTGGCATGTCATATTCGAACACGGACTGATACAATCGCTTCCACAATTCGGTATCGTTAGCGATAGTGTTAAAACGTTTACAAACAAGTGATAGCCGACACAAATCCTGCTCTAGAAGATATGAAAATATGGCGAGCAGAACTTCGTCGGGCATTTCGTATTGTAAGTATTGAGCTGCAGTTGGACCTGCTAGCATGATGCTCCCTGTACAGGCAGCAATACATGGCACTTCTGCAGTTTGTGCATACAAACGTCGTGATCGCTTGCGAGCTGGTAACATAAAATTATTGTCTTCAATTCCGCCAATCGGAAGAGCACTGCAATGTTGTTGCGGTATTGAACTGTGCACTGTAGGCGATGGACCCAATGGTGCACCAGTAGCGGTTGAATTTACAGGAAAAGTGGCACTAGTTAATGGCGCATGCACAATGGCTGATGATGAGGATGATGATGATGGCATAACAGAGATGGATGCGGTGTTGCAACTTCCTCCCAGATGAGGCGGTGAGCCACAAGAAACTGATTGCGAGTTGCTGTTGTTCGTGTTTGAAGTTGCAATATTGCTGCTGCTGGCTGTAGAAACTGTTGTAGGAGGAGATGAAAGTATAGCAGATGTACTGGTATTACACCAATGATCATGTCCATTAGCAGGCATCTTGCGACGAAGATCATATGGTGATTGATGTGTACTATTGGTCGCGGATGCAGATGTAGATGCCGTTACATTTGATAAAGAGTTGCACAATACCGAATTAGAATAATGTGAGTTACAATCTGCAAATATTAATAAAAAAATATTAATATTACCGTTAATCCTTTTAAGCAAAATTCATTATTTTGAAATATTTTTTACTTACTGCTCGTATGATTTACAATATTAGAATTGCCGGTACTACTATGAGTTGAACTACTTGACGGACCTAAATTAATCGTAAATTTAAATCAGGTTCAGTATTGATGTTTTAAATATCGGCAATTACCTGGACAAGTATTACTTGATCCAGAATCCATCAGGTGACCTCCCACAAAACTTCCTCCTCCATTAAGACCTGACGATCCTATTATATTATTAGAGCAAGAAGATCCAAGCATGTTTTTTGAGTTGACTACCCCAAATGAACAAGAACCTGATATACCGCTAGACGTAGAAGGTCCTGAATTTGATGATTGTGAACAGGATGCCCCAGAGACATCCACAAACATCTCTGAGGAAACTGCACCAGCAGCTGTTGACGTTGCTGCTGTTGCTGACGATGTGCTAACTACAATTGCAGCTGATTGCGATGATGTATCAGCAGAAGAACATGATGCGACTGGCGATGTCGAATGAGAATGTGATTGAATTGCCGATGAGTCTAGCGGAGCAGGCGAAATATTTGAGTTTGTAATATTGTCATTATTTTGAAGGGAAGGTGCACCGGCGTTAGAACTGGAATTTGCTCCAGAATGTGAGGCAGAACTTGGTCCGGGAATGTTTTGCTGCATAGGATCCATTATGTTACCTTAAAAAATAAAACATTTTGTTCTATTTTTCATGTAATCTTATTTATTTACTAACCGGATGGACGATTTGGTAAAGCTATGCGATTGACACCTTTTCGACGGGAACGACGCACGTATGAACGTGACGATGTAAAGGAAGCGCTGGGCATTTTTCTTTTATAAATTATATGATTATTTTTGAATTGATAATAATGATTGATACAATGTCCTTTTCAAATAGTAACTATGTAATAAATATACATATTACAAATAAATAAGTGAACTTGTGCAAATACATTAACATACATTCACTCAAGACAATTTTCTTTGTTTGAATTTACTTATATTATTATAATTTTTTTTTTTTTTTTTTGTACACTACATAAATTTATGTTAATTTTTCCTTCTACATATAGCACATTTTTATTTAATGTTAATAAGTCTTTTAGTAATGCACATTCGATTTTTTAGTCACTGCCGATTTCTCAGTTTATCCTTACAAATTCCGACCGAGCAAAAGGGAAAGGGTTTACACCAGCTCGATTAGAACGCCATTTTCGGTAATCGCAGTCGCTTTTTCCATTTGGATTTTAGCTGACAGCAGTCACTGTTAACTCCACTTCCACTTTTTCTTCTTTATTGTATATTACCAGCATCGATGCCTCCGCTTTTGTTTTCGTTTTAATAGACATTGAATTTTACGCTTCTGCCCGGCCAAACACTTACCAAAGTAGTACAACCATATTCAAACTGATGGATTTGCATCCATTTCTTTCACACTTATATTATTTGAAGCAATTTGCCTCTATATAAGATTTTTGATTGGTTTTCCCTACAAGCTTGGTAAAATTGGTATTTACAACTGAAAGATAGATTTTTTGTACATATTTTATATTTTACAGAATACGGAATATTCACTTATATTTTAAAATCACTACAACAAAAATTATATTTTAGTTTAGTTAATTTGTATCCCTTAAAATAGTTTTATTTTTAGTTTAATTGGCACAGCAAAGTTTCACACAAGTATTTCGTCCATACACGAGCTGAGCGAGGGTCGGCGCTCTTTGAAACGGTATACAACTGTGAACTGTCACAACAGTTGTAGCTGTCAACACTCTGAGATTGCACACACTACATAAAAATGTATTACGAAATGTATTTGCATGTATTATTTTATATAAAATGTTTACCCAATAACCCTTTCATCGTGTATCTATCACGGTGTTTTAGAAGAAATTACAGATGAATAACATGGTATTGCATTTGATCGCATTTTCTTTAAAAATTTTTGCAGAAATTTCTTTTAAATTTTTTATCAGTTTCTTAATTTGGGGATGTGTGCAGGTCGCCCCCGAGTTGGTGTATTATGGGTAACGTTAAATGACCTGCGGCCTTTCAACTCATTGACTTGACCTTAGCAATAGATTAGAATTGGATTATGAGTAGGATTAGCTCTTTAGGATTTTGGTATAAAACTGGACTGGTGGTTGCGTTATTCTGCCATCTGAGTATGATGGAGTGACACCAATCAGAAATGGCTGACGAGATATTGCTACAACTGCCCCCGTCCCTTTAAGTTAGCGGAATAGATGTATGTTAAGATGACTCCTTCTTTGTGCTGGTCGGCTCAGAACACAGAAACACCTTGGGACCATTAAAGGCAAGTGATGCTCTTGGGGTGACGAAACCGTCGCCAGCTAAAAGCAGTGAATGGATGGCTAACCCAGTCGTAGGAAGTTCGGGGCTAGGCCATTCTATAAACAATTGGCAAGCGATGGCAGCCAAAATCGTAGGACGCTATGGTGGCAATCATGCTGAACAGGTGGATGGAGCCATCTTTCGAGAAGAATGGAAGAGAATAGCTGCGACCATCTCTGCAATCTTCCTGAAGGTAGTCAGGGGAAACTCTGGGCCACCTCTAAAGTGTGAGAATGCTAAAGCTGATGGCGCTCAGGCTCCAGATGCGTTGGATATGTCGGAAGGGGATGGTCAAACGACCATGGAAAATGACCCGGTCCTACCGGACATAGCGAGTACTGGAGGCGGTTCGTCAATCGGCGACTCCGCCCTCAACCTTGAACGGCTGTTCGAACACAACGCGGACGCTGAACTAGCCCCTCTGGAGGAGAGTCTGAAGGAGTATATTCTATCAGATAAACAAGACGGATCCGATCGTCCTGGTCCAGGGACCGTGGCTAAGTAGTAACGGTATCTCTGAGTTAGGGACGAGGAGACATAAGATGTTGATGATCAGCGATACAGGTAGAATAACTGTGTGTTGGTCCGAAATTAATTACCGGTATTTCTTTTACATAATTTCAGTAACGCTGATGGGGTGACGGCAAATTTAGAATGCGACGCCGGAGATTTCAGGCTAATCTCAGCATATATGCCAGACGATGATGAGGTGGAACCACCTCCCATATTGCTGAGGCGGACTTTGGCTGAAACGTCGCGAAGACGAACCAGCGTTCCGACGCCAATCACGGCATTTGATCTGAGGCAGCTCGGATATTAATAGCAATACATTATAAGCCAAAACTTGTTTATTTGTAATAGAAGAAATTTTCCTACTTTTCTTACTGACCTCGAACGCAATTACATATCTGATCTCAGACTGGAAGGTTCTCGAAGAGAACTCCTTCTGTGATCACAGGTACATCGCGTTCAGTATTAACAGTCTTTTAGAAATCCTAGAAATACAAACTGAGACTGGTATCGTAGGAGGCTCCACCAAGCGCGCAGGGGTTGACTCATTGCCCAGCACTGACTCGATGGACCAGTGCTTCGAAGTCTTCAGCTCGGCGTGCAAAGTTGCACTGGAGAGCTGCTGTCCACTGAAAACACCGAAGGGCAGAGGGAAACCGCAGAGGTGGGTCAACGGACGGTTGGGCGTAATATAAAACGTTCATCTCGGCGGCCAGTAAGAGTTCCCACGTCATGGCCAAGGACTATAGGCCTATCAGCTTCTCCTCTTTCTTACTGAAAACGTTTGAGAGGCTGATGGTCTGGACGGCCGGAAGTGGCCTCGCCATTAATCCAAATAAAACTGAGATGGTTTTATTTACTAAGAGATATAAGACCCCGGAGGCACCACTGCCGCGGATGAGAAGCATCTAGCTGCAGCATACGGATACAGAGAACTATTTAAGGGTCGTCCTAGATAGGAAGCTTTCAAGGAAGCCAAATATCGAAGAGAGAGCAAAGAAGGCACCGATTACCTTATACTGCAGAGGATCTATTAGAAAGAGGTGGGGTTTCTCACCGACAGAAATTCTGACTCTACGGCACCAAAGTCAAACCCATTATGTTCTATTGAGTGTGTTATGGAGAGCCCTAAAAAACAAAATGTCCGCTCTTGCAAGGAAGCTCCAGAGAAATCCTCACACGCTTTGATTTTATACTGAATCTTTAAGATCCTGGAGTCAAATCAGACTGTGGTGGCTTTTTCTCTGTCCACATAACCGCAAGGGAGCTGTGGGTGGGTAGAAGTCGTTGGAGAAGCTGTGCGGTGAGCTTATTTACGGATGGATCAGAGCTTAGGAGGAGGTTGGTGGAGGGGTATACTGTCGGGAACTCTCTAACAACTTCAGTTTCAGACTTTCTGACTATTGCGTTTTTTCAAGCGAAGGCTGTTGCCATCAAGGTAGCGGTTTATTTACTGCCCCGGTGCAGCCTCCTTCAGAGAAGTGACTATTCACTCTATTAGTAAGACGGCGATAATAGCCTTAAGCTCACTAATCGTGCGTTCAAAGCTGGTTAATGAATGTCTAGCCTCGCTATCAATACCAACCAACAGGCTATTGCCCTTTTGACGTCCGTGCTGTAAGTTTGAAAATTCTACCCGACGCCAGCTGCAGAAACTGTATGAAAGAGGGCACAGAGGGTAACACTTCCGCGTTTGCGCGATCAAGGCTTAGGCACCTGGAGATCACACTTTAGGATGACCCACAGAACTGACGGGAAAAGAAATAAACACCTGAGCAAATTTTTATTGACCACGAGGCGCTTTACTGACATATTATTTTAAAATAAAGGAGTTAAATTTTTATGGCATCACAAAGGACTGCGTATAGCAGTCCAAGTGCGATCTAACCAAACCTATGTTAACCTAACCTAAGACCAATTTGGCAAATCTAACGGACACTTATGACCAATTCACATAGAACTTTTGCTTTACTTTACTTCCGACATTTGTTTTGACAGAAAAGTTCGATGTACACTGTATGAGTACGCATAAAAAGTTCGACACGAAGCCAAGCAAAATGTTGGGCAACTTTCATCTTTTTACGCTCTGCTAAGCTATGGTCCCCATATTTATTAGAGAGAAACACTGAAAGCAAAGCCTTCATTGTGGCATACCCTTTGTTTTCTGCGCTTCGTTGTTTCAGTATGAACTGTCACGCAAAGCGAAGAAAGTTTTATGTGAACAACCATCATCCCTTCTACAAAAAGAATATCTCTTCCGCGCTTGAGAACCGTAACCCCTGGTAGCAGGGAGTTAGAGATGTCTAAGGAGGTCTAGGCATGTAAAAATAACACTTTCTAAAGTCCGTTCAAACGACAGTCGGGCTTAAAGCAAAAACACAAAAAAGTTACAAAAGTTAAAAATACATTACAATTCATGTGGCACCCATTTTCCAAACTTTTGGATCTTTCCTATTGCTTTCAAACAGTTTTAAATTGTTTGTTGTGAAACATTTAACATTACTGCCATTTACTTTTGACTCAAAGTATCATATTCATCCAATATTGCTTGCAGTTTGACGTCTTTAAACGTTTTGGTGATCTTCGGCGTTCTTCATTTCTCACATCAAAATAATTATCTCTGAACCGTTAAAACCATATTTTGCATGTTGCTTCTGATAGAGCATGATCAATATATGCCTTGACAAGCATTCGAAGCGACTATGCAGTACTTTTGCTTTTAATGCTTTTCTCTAATGATCACTTTCCGGTGCAAAGTTTGACATTTTTAAATGCTGTTTGTTTAATAACTGTAAGGTTATTGATTATGTTTGACAGATGTAATGCCCACCAAACAGAAAAAAATTAAGGCTTGTTCACAACAAATGTTCCCTATGAGCTCATTTGTATGTTGACGCTCACTTCATACCTGGTATGTATTCAATTTTTCATGCTACTATGGTATATAAACTGCTCTTAGAGCTGACGAGTTACAAAAAAAAATTTATACATTTACTTATGTAATATAAGATCAAAAAATTTATAAAATTTTTACTTAATATACGTACATATGTACAGTCTTTCTTCCTTCGTAATCCAATTTTGTTGTTGTTTGTTTCAAAATAGTAATTTGTTGACGTTTTTAGCCTTTAGCGCTGTTCTGTTAACAAACGAGATATTCGTTTACATGCAACATAGTATATTGCGAAATTCTATCACAACAGAACGTTCACATAATAGCTTTAATTTCATAATTTTATTCTCCAAAATCAGGCGTACTAAATATAATGGATGTTTTTTTACAATTTTTATTTTTCCACGGTTCTTAAATCTTATTAGGCATTTCAGAGCATTAGAAATTCTCACCTAATTTTAAATATTTCCACAAGAATTGGAAGCCACTTATCTTTAGATCACCGGTTAATTACCCAACATCGCGATTAGAGATTTCTGTTAAAGTTTCTATGAATTTCTAAAACCCAATTCATAATTCTAACCGAAACTCTTGTGTACTTGTGATCCCTTTCTTACGCACTGGTCTTATGAGTTCCGCAGTCTATATGCATTAGTTTCCGCGCTAATTTCTTAAATGTATCAATAGACTATATCATGATGTACCTGTGTTCAGTGAAATTTCGAAATTTGTATAAAAATTGGTGGTGAAACTAGTTAGGGCATAAACCATTGACGGTCAAAATAATTATCGATAGTGAAACGAAAATAAAACTATCGAAAGTCCCATCGATTGTTTTGCACCTCTATTGTGACATTAGTATATGGATTGTGACAACGTATCCTCCGTGACATTCTTGCCTTCGTTCTTGGAAATATACAGTTTTGATCTGCAAATTTGATAAGGACATTTTACAGCAATCGCTTGAATTTTAGCCCTGGCTTGAATATTAAATAGATAAAGCGTTACGTTCACTTCGTATAAAGAAATAATATGTCGGACTGGGAAGAAGAAAACTGGGATGATGAAGCCCAAAACGTAGTCAAAGCGCCCGAAATATACAAAGGTAACCAAAATAGTTACCACAACACAGGTGGTAATGGTCGGAGAGAAAATTCAGATCAACATCATTCCTCGGAGGCGGCCAGAAAACGAACATCCCAAGTTCAAAACTACAGAGAAAAAATAAATATTCCTCATGACTGTGTTGGTCTGATTATAGGTCGCGGTGGATCCAATATACAACGCATTCAAAACAATTACAATGTACGAGTAGATCTCGATAAAAGAACTGGGTCAGCCTTAATTGGAGGGCAAAATGAGGAAGATGTAAAAGATGCTTATAGTTATATAGAACGTCAGTTGAATTCAAGTTCAAGAAATAACAGTAGTACTGTACATGGCAAACAAAACGACTTTATGTATAAAGTAGAACAAGAGGAAATAATTAATAAAAATGATAAAGATGTTCCGCATGAGGTAACTGAAATCGATTGGGGGGCTTTGGTGAAAAAATCGGTAAGCAGATGTAATTAACTGTAATTAGTATTAAAACTAATAGATCAATATACATTTCAGAAAGAAGCAAGTGCAAAACGTTGGGCTCAATTGCCTGCCTTGACAAAAAATTTCTATAAAGAAAATTCTGAAGTTACAAATTTAACTACCGAGGACGCTGTACGCATACGAAAGGAAAACAATAACATAACAGTATCACGTGTATTTAAGGAAGATGGCGTTTCAGAAAATATTCCAAATCCGATTTGGAAGTTTGAGCAATGTTTTGCAGCTTACCCCGATTTGTTAGAGGAAATTAACAAACAAAAGTTTGCGAAACCATCACCCATTCAATCACAAGCATGGCCAATTTTGTTAAAAGGGGAGGATATGATTGGTATTGCCCAAACCGGTACTGGTAAAACACTAGCTTTCTTGTTGCCCGCAATGATTCATACTGAGTACCAAAGTACACCACGTTCAGAGCGCGGCGGCCCCAATGTACTGGTCCTCGCCCCAACACGTGAACTGGCTTTGCAAATTGAAAAAGAAGTTCATAAATATTCATTCCGCGGTATGAAAGCGTAAGTGTTTTTAAGTCTAATTTTCTTAATAATTACTTTCCAAATTTAATTCTATAAATACTTCCAGCGTATGTATATATGGCGGAGGGAATCGCCGTGATCAAATAAACAACGTCCAATGTGGTGTTGAAATAATCATTTGTACTCCAGGACGCCTTAATGATTTAATCGAATCCAAAGTCATTGATGTGTCTAGTGTTACTTATTTGGTACTGGATGAAGCAGACCGTATGTTAGACATGGGCTTTGAACCACAAATACGTAAAGTGTTGTTAGATATACGCCCCGATAGGCAAACAGTTATGACAAGCGCTACCTGGCCACCAGGAGTTCGTCGTCTGGCACAAAGTTATATGAGCAATCCTATACAAGTATGCGTAGGTTCACTAGATTTGGCAGCCACACACACAGTTAAGCAAATTATAGAAATAATGGACGAAGGGGATAAGTATTTTGCCGTAAGCTATTCGATTTACATAAACCCGGTTCATTTACTAATATAAAACGTATTTTTTAATATAGATTAAGAGTTTTTTAAAAAATATGGAAAAAAATGATAAAGCTATAATATTTTGTGGAAAGAAGACACGAGCTGATGATTTGTCCAGCGATTTAACAATTGAAGGCTATATGTGTACCGCTATTCATGGTTCCCGAGAACAGGTATATATATTTATTTCTCTAATTTACATCTAACATTCCATTCATTATCTGTTTGATAGTCTGATCGAGAGCAAGCGATTGCAGATATTACCTCAGGATATATTAAAATATTAATAGCCACAGATGTAGCTTCCAGAGGATTAGATATCGACGACATAACGTAAATATTATGACTGGCATTAATTCAAAATTTAATTAAAATTCTTTAATTTCTTAGACATGTGATTAATTTTGATTTTCCTCGCAACATCGAAGAATATGTGCATCGCGTTGGTCGAACCGGTCGTGCTGGCCGTACGGGAACGTCTATCAGTTATATTACTCGTACTGACTGGGGTGTTGCTAAGGAACTAATAAGTATTTTGGAAGAAGCTGACCAAGATGTTCCATCTGAACTTCGTGAAATGGCTGCCCGTTTCAAATCGATGAAAGATCGGCGTGCAAACGAATTATCAAAATGCAATTTCCGTGATCGGAATGGAGCCGGTAGTCGCGGTTACAATGGTGGTTTTCGCGGTGGTAACGGAGGCGGACGCTACTAAAGCTGTTATTTGCATTCGTACAAAATATTACTTATAATTTTTTATTGAATTTTTACGTACATATAGTTATACTTACATATGAATTGAAACATAACCCTAATTTTTCCTACAATGTTGCATTGTATACAAGTGATCGAGATATTTTCGTTAATAAAAATTGCCCTTACTGAAGTAAAATTCGCATAACATAATATCTAACGGTAAGCATGAGATTTATTATTATTATGACTATTTAGAAAGTATGATATAAAAAAATAATGTTTATACTAGATGTTTGGTATATTTTTTTCAGTATCTAAATTTTTATTAACAATCTACTTGTATATGTGCAAGATCAAGGTCTTCATCCCATGCATTCTTTTCCGCTTGCAGGCTGTTGTAAGTACTCTCTTGAGATTCAGCTGTATTCCAGAGCTCGTCATCTTCATCGACGTTCATAACCTGTATATTTTCGGAGGCAACCCGCCTATTCCTATTAAGTTGTTTTGTATTACTTACTTTTTTAGTGGAGCGATTACCCATCACATTTTGACTTTCTTCGAAATATTGATTCGGGTGGTGAACTCCAAGTTCTACAGGTGAATCGTGCATTATTTGAAAATACTTTCCACATGCAAGCTGATAATGGCCTTTTGACACATAGCTCATGACTTCTTGAACATGTACCGCAGACAGGCCATATGATGCAAGTTTTACTTTCAGCATACTTGCATCATTTGTTTTATAGGGACATCCACGACAATCATCCTGGACTGCGTTCTCTTGGATTATCTTAAGGCAGGAATAGGGTGTATAACTGATCATTGAGCCCTTTTTGCCGTAATTGTGATATATGTTATATTCATAACGCTTCGCAAATTGTTCACCATCGATTTTCTTTGTAAATTCTTCTCGGAAAAACCGCAGACTATCCTCCAAAGTTACACCAATTCCTTTGAGGAAAAGACCGTACTGCATTCGTCCGCCGTGCTTAAGATGGTGATTTGTACGCAGATATTCATGGCAACTGCGCATGCATATTGGAAATGATTTTATTGAAAGTTGATCCAAAGATTCTGGTGACACAATTCCTTCTTTACTGAGGGCATAATCTTTACCTGTATATGAAGTATGTAATGATTTTAGTAAGTGAAATATGCGCTCATCTGCTTCCACCTCTCGTATTAGTTTTTGCGCAGATTGCAGTCCATGCTCAATTTCATTGAGCTGAATAACGGCTATAATTGAAACAAAATCATGTGTGTTTACATATGCAAACCCACTCTTCAAATAGCATCGTCGTGTTCGTACTAAGTCCAAAACCTGTGTAAAAGGTACTTTGTAAAAATCCAGCATTTCAATTTTGGATATACTCTGACCAACGGTACTCTCGTATAATCCATCTTTAACCGAATATTTTTGGGTATCGTTCAGTGGAACATACTCTAGTTTATTCAATTCAAGAAAATGTTTGATGTCAGTACCACTCATGGATGAAAATTTGTATTTGAAAAGTTCCATTTCTCGCGTCAGAAACCAACTGTTAAAGATTGAATATTAAAAATTAACTATTTTAGTTCCTGTTTTTTTATTATACACACCGCTTCAGTTCTTCAGTGCGACAGTACGCCAACCGCAGGATAAAATGTGAAATGTAATCACGCCGCCTTGCTTGCAATTCTTGTTCATATTTGTTACTATCCGTAGACGGATTAACGCTGTTGCCCATACAAAGTCGCAAGTAACCTCTCAGACCTTCTCGATTCAGCTCAGTGTTGATTGATTCTTTCCATTCGTCTGATAAAAAACGAAGGTTTTTAGAATTTGCTTGCTCCAGAATACGTAGTACTTTGAGTCGTTCTAGAGCCAAGTCTTCGAATTCGTTAATTTTAATGTCTTCAATTGGTGGTGTTCGGTAAAGTGCAACATTATGTGGATACTTTATTTCTAGATTCTCGTACTGTGGTTTACGTACTAACCGTGCACGCGTTTTTCGACGAAAATCCATTTCTATAACACCTTACTATTTATTATATTTTTCCACTCGTACTCGATATTCGTATTTTCCAAAAATTGTTCCGCAAATAAGGTTTTGTAAAATTGGCGCACTCTTTGACAGTTGAATAAATTGTTTACATTCTCATAGTTTAATGTCATCGTTGCTGAGAGTCCAGCAACTTAAATCGAGTTTTTCTGTCATTCCTTTTCATAAAATTTTCTCAAATTTTGTGCGGTTCGTCTGCGCAACACTCACGCAACAAACTTTCATTTGTATGCTGGGATGATGGTCACAAATTTTGCATGCAATGAATTACCATGAGTATGGTAGAACAATATGGATAATACCTACCCGCTTAATAGTTTCAAAGAAATACTTAAGTCGGGAATTCCCTAATCCACCAGAATGTATTGAATATCCGCTACTAATATTATCAAGGCCAAATTTATAACAGGAATTTCCTAATCTTTTAGTATTAAACTCCCATAATTTTTTTAATCCATATTTTTTCCAATTCTTGTTTTAAATAAAATGATATTCGAACTAAATTCTTTGCAGTTATGCGGTTTGTTATTCAAAAATCAAATAGAATTTTGAGTATCTTAATTTTCTCCTTTTTTACCGGTTTTAAACCGGTTTGGGTTACAAAAGAGTATGTGTGTAAAGTGGCACATATTCTCTCATTCTTGTTATTTTGACACTTTATTATTAAAACAAATCAATTGACAGCTTTCGTGTACTTTGAAGAAATAAGTGAGATATTGCATTCTTTTGAATTTGGCGGCTTTTTTTTCTCAAATCATTCCAACATATTACTTTCCATAGAAATAATGCGTATTGTCAATTCGTGCATATTGGAATTACGCGAGGTAAGTCATTAGTTACATATATTATTCAGATATAATCGTTGTTTTATAGCACAAAGGTAAAAGAATTGTATGCAGTCTAAAATTTGAAAAGTCATCGGATGAGAGTTTTAATACAGTAGAACAACGGAACTTCCATTGGTTGGATAGATCAGATTGGAGAACATTTGACGCTCAGTTAGAAAAGATAATTAGTAAACTTGAAAAGAAGGAACTCGAAGAGAAATCTTTTCAGTTAAATGATATAATTGATGTTGTTGTTTCAATTTCCTCAACAAATGTGAGAGCAATTTCTAAGCTTTTAGGTCATGAATGTTTTGAAAAGAAAGATTATCCAATATCCTTAAACTGCGTATTTCGAAAACAATCTGAGAGGAAAACGAAGGTAAGTAATTTGAAAAATCCAATAAGTTAAGCTAAAGATTTTTTGTTTTCCAGATATCTGCCGATGTTTGCAGAGACTCACAAAACTTCCAGAAATTGAACGTATATAGTTCTACAAATGTTGATACAAGTAACCATTATGGCAGTATTGCTCAACCAGATATAAATTTAAAATTTTTGAAAGAGAAAAATATATTTTCAAACTATAGTAGTGATGATATTAGTAGCAGTGACAAAAAGTTAGTCCGGTTTAAAAAGGCCAAGCCGAGTTTGAATGATAAGGAAAAGACTAAAAAGCGTCTTTCAGTTAATATTAAAGCTTCATCAGATGATGGCATCGACTTACAAAAATATGACATACAAAGAAAGAAGCTTCGTTCCCAGTGTACGTCGGCCCGAAGAGAAAAAATTAGTCACGTAGGCGTTGGTGAACTTAAGGAATCTTTCAATTCCTATGAGGAAAGCGATGAATTAATTGGGGAATCACCAGTCGAAATAAGGTCAAAAACGCAAGAAACATTCCTAAAGGCGAAACCAGAACAAAGCCCAAAATCTGACAGTTTACGCTGTCGGGAAAATAAATCAAATAATAAATGGCTGACTAAGAAGGAACCTGAGGAGTTGGTTGTATCCAAAAAGAAATCTAAACTAACTAAATCCAAAGTAAAAGCGCCCAGAGAAATTGTTACAGATTGCCAGCATAGACAAAACGAACAAATTAAGGCTAACAAAAAAATGAAATCATTTTTGGAACAAATAATACAGGTGCCAAAGAAGGTGAAAATTTTGTAAGTAGACGTGATTATTCTTAATACTTTATACATTTAAATATTATCTGCCAAATCAGAACTCTCAACAATATGGACAGTGACGAAATTTTAAATACTTTTCCAAAATATAAAAATCAGCTTGATGCTATTTTTAATGAACTGCGATCGAAACCAAAAGTATCCGGATACAATGGAATTAACCACTATTCAGTTATTGAACTAATAGATAATGAAAAACAACTAAAAATGATGCACAAACTCGGTGAAGTATACGAAAAAGACGCAGATGGTCTATCCATGGTAAATAGAAACGTTCTATTTCCAAATACTTGAATTAATTTCTAAATCTTAATTAGTATCCAATGCTTTTCGCGAACGCCTTGATGCCCGAGTGGTTAGTAAATATATTTAAGGATAAGTATCGTTTTTCCTACAGCGAAGCAGTGACTCATTTAAATAAACAGCGACTTTATATGCAATACATGGCTACAGATGATCACTATTAGAAAATATTATATTTTTTCTTTTATTATCAATGTAGAGGATAAGGAAAATTTGTAATATTTCGTATGAATTTACACTACACAAGTCTTACGAAAACACGGCTTGAGATAATTGGTATTGTTGTTGTTGTTGCAGCAGAAAACATTCCTGAAGTAATTTCAAGGAATGGTGCCGAGTTACTTACCATTTACCCGATTGTCGTGGGAAAGACACATGTAGAGAATAATTGTTTTGATTTTATTCCCGATAACGTTAGAATAGAGAAAATATTAAAATACTTAAAATAGAGAGTAATTATAAGACTTAAAGGTGGATCAGTCATTGTCTAAAATTAATTAAAACTAAGGATATTCAAGTTACAAACTTTGAAAATATATTTGGTAAATGGAGGAAATATCCAAAAATAAGAAATAAATGTAAGGCCCATAATAAATAAGAAAGATGACATATTCACATAGACCAAAAAGAAATAATCACATTCGAAGAATATATTGCTTTGGCTATGGAAAACTTAAATAAACTAGTCAATACAGCGATTTGTACTTGAGGTTTAATTTTGAAAATGATTGACACAAATAATTGTTAATTGAATTGTTTATGTTTAGAAATATGTTTTTTATTTATGAATTGTTTCACAATTATAACATAATTGAAATAAAAACTATCCTATCTTTTAAGTTAGATCGAACTGAAATCGGTTCAGTAGTTGAGAAGTTTACCCCGGAGAAAACGGGGCACGTAATTTTTCTATACAGTGAAACCTCTACTTGTGGACACCTCCAATTAGCGGACCCCTATCTTAACCGGTCAAAAAATTCAAGAACCAAGTTTTACTTTGGGTTTTCAGAACAAATTCCTCTCTAACAACCGGAGACTCGTGACCGAAGACTTTCAGATACCACCTATTGCAGAGCAAGATCCCGAGTTGCCTTAGCGTAACTTCGTTCTGGGTATTATAGCAGGTGTTTAACCTCCTACCTGGCATATAAAATCTGTCTTTAATGCAACGCGTCCCCGCATGACACTAATCACCTCTGTGTATGCTCAATGAAACAAACTCACCTAACAGCCCTCTCCCTATAGTCCAAACCCGTCGAAACATCCTGGGCCTACCATTAGTTGATTTCAATGACAGTTATTCAATTAGTTCTTTTAAGTACTTCATCAAACTTATCTCTAAATTCTGAGTCTAAGACTGTGATATGCTTGGCACATTGTTCATAGATAAAAATTGTTTGTAATTGTTTTTGTGCATTATTATTTAGTAAATTTGAATTACCCGTTCATGACATTGCGATTTTATAAATAAATGTATTAACTATAATAACTAATTTGTATTTTAAGTTAGAATCGAAAGAAATAATCGATTGTTGTGCTCGACTTATCGGTTTTTAGGATCAAAAAATAGAAAATTAAAATCAGAACCGATTCTTTATAAAATGTTTCCATCCCTACTCTTCTGATGTGCAAACTAAATCTTAGAGCTTTCTATTCTGAGAAATCCTCACAACTTATTTGTGACGTTATTCTTGCTTGAACATCATAAGAAACAGCTTAAAAAATTCACCACTTGAGTTGAAAATCGTTGTATTATAAAATGAAACAAAGTAATATAAAGAAATGAACAGTAATGTAACGGATTTCTCGATAAATCGTTTACTTTGTAACTCACTCTTGAGTTCGATCACTGAATTGTTAAAGAAAAAATCTTAATTTAATGACTATACACTTAACTTTATTTCTGATTCCAAAAATTTAACGCTTTACTACCCATTATCTGAGATTACAACAACTTATATCTCAATTGCTCTTTACTAGGCATCACTCTGATTAGAATTCTCGGGCTGATCGTTAACAAAACTTCGTCACTCGAACACTCGGCAACTACGAATACAGCTGTCAAGTTAATTCTGGAAATTAATCGTCGACTCTATTTTGTTATCAGCATCTGTTCGTCACAATATTTTCATTTTTTTCATCTTTTGTTTCAAATCACCTTATCTTTAATTTAGTGCAATAAATATTAGTATATATTAGCAGATATAGGTATTATTATTGGAAATTTTCTGAAACAAAATTGAATGCATTAATTTTATTATAGAGTGTTTTGTTAATCTGTTTGTATTTATGTTGGTGATAGCACAAAGTATTATTTGTATATTAAAACTCCATAAACCCTTCAGGAGGTAACAACTGCTACATTGGTGTTTAATAAACATGAAATCAGATTCATAATTAAGTGAAATTGCATATAAGCGTCCAAAGATCTGTGTAGACGTTTTTCAAATGTCAACTCCAAGCGGTAATACTGAATTGAAGGGCCCAAAAATTTTTTTTATTATTCATCTACAAAATTGTGATTGCTCTTATAAAAAACTGATAAAGTAGCAACAAAATATAGATTAAAAAGGCATGGATAAAGAGAAAAGTAATAATAAAGTAGCAGAAAAGTCGGTATCAAAATATGTGCCGATCATTGATGGGCATTACAGGGAATTACGACGATCAAGCCGCGTCCCTGTGAAAAATCGTCGATATGAATCTGAAGATCTTACTTCCTTAGTTAGAAACAAAAACATATTAAAGGCAAACAGCAAAACTGTCCGTGAATGCTTTGAATCTGACACAAAAAGTGATGAATACGTCACGAGATCATCGGAAGAGATTAGTTTAAAAAAAGAATCAACATTGCGTCGGTCTAATCGTACTAGAAAGCGTTTTCCTTTTCAGTCAGACTACATCAAATCTACATCAACTAAAAAGAAGAAAGCGCGGCCAGTCAGCAAAGATAAGCGAGACTGCTTTTATTCTAAAACGGAGAATGATGCGTCTAAGTTGACATCGCCACGGAAAAAATGTCAACGAGAAGAAAAAGATGATGCCGTTGACCAGCATAAAAGTCAGTCAAGAAAACACGATTTGATAAAAGATTCCAAATTAAAGAAGTCACTTTTCAAAATAACCAATGAATATAACGAAAATAACTTGAAAAACGTAAAGCAAATAGTGTATCCTACTGCAGAGGAAATAGCCGAAAATAAGCGCAGAGAACGGGAACAGATTAGAGTAAATAGGAAAATGAAAGCAATGTTAGAAAATCTCGTGCAAGTACCTGAAAAAGTCTCAATATTGTAAGTAAATTCACCTAAATATTTCAACGTAAGCTACTTGAAGCCAGCCAGTAAACAAAATAATACTTAAGTAATTTTTTTACAGGTCACTCCATAACATGACTTCTGATGAAATTTTGAATACTCTTCCTAAATACAAAGATCAACTAGATATTATTTTCCGTGAACTGCGCTCAAAGCGGAGAGTAGACGATTACAAAGGAATCAACCACTATTCTGTTATAGAGTTGATCGATGATAAAAAACAACAGAAGATGATGCAGAAACTTGGCGAAGTATATGAGGCCGAACAAGATGGAATATCTTTGGTTGGTAACAACATTCGCTTAAATACATAAAATAATATACAAATAATTTCATATATCTAGTCCCCTACGCTATTCGCTAATGCGTTGATGCCCGAATGGCTGGTTCATATATTCAAGGATAAGTATAAATTTTCCCATACTGAAGCCGTATCCCATTTAAATAAACAACTACAATATATGCAATGCTTGGATGTAGACGATTATCACTGATACAGGAGATATTTGTATATAAATAATTTGTAAGATAAAAGAAAGCCGAAATTAATTTTTTTTTAATTGTATGCAAATTTTTTCACATGCTTTTAAATGTGCCAACTTAAAAAAAATTTTTTACATTAAAAATAAATATTTTTATTTTCAATATAAAAAAGAAACGCTATTTCGTTATGTACCCGTAGAGCGTCCGAACCACAGCACAGAAATACGTGAAGATTTGCAAAGTTATTTGTTTACTCCTGCAGAAGGTCTTAACTGAGGCCTTTTTTTGTGCAAAATTACCGACATACATATGTACATATGTATTAAAGAAAGTCGTGTTAGTTACACTATTTATAACTTAAGAACGGTTGAACCTATTTAGTTGAAAATTGATGGCAAGGTAGCTTAGAACCAGGGGATGGACATAGGGTACTTTTTTATATATTTATGGTAAAAGTCAATTAAATTAATAATTAAAAAAATATATTTTTAATCATAAGTATGTATTCAAAATTCATTCAGGAATCATTTGAATATTTCATTACTTCAAACTCGCTACTGCGAGTAATTTTTGAATATGTACAATATATATATGGATGGCACATCTAAACGGCACTATTTTTGAAAAGTTTTAACCCGATATCTTAATTGGCTCTCAATTTCTGTACGGTGAAGTGTCAGAATCAGAAGTTTAAAATTGTTTTGTAAGAGAAGTAGGCGTGGCTGTAGGCCGAATTCGCAACGTTCCCACAAAAGTCGGGTCTACGTAACCCGATTTTGATTCGGCCAAGGACTGTCAACTCGGCATTCTGCCGCTACAACAACAACAACCGAATTCACACACCGTAATATGGGAATGAACCAAATTTCGACAAAATTGGGCAAGTAGGTCATAAAAAAATGGATTCAACGAGAATTTCAATAGGATGGACAGACTCTCAACCAAATTTGAACTTGCCACTTCGACCTGATAGCCGTGTATACCGTACTTAAGTCCATATCTATCTCGATTAGTTTTAGGTGATACAAACAACCGTTAGGTTAACAAAACTATTATACTATGTAGCAACATGTTGCGAGTACAAAAAGGGGCGTAGCAGCGCACGCCAAGTACAGCTTGTTTGCAATAATGTAAAAAATATATGAATTCAAAACCATTCAATCAAGGCAATAAAATATCAACAATTTTTTAGAACAAAATATTTTATTTGAATTTGTTTTTTATTTTAATTCTAGATTACAAGTAGAAAATATTTTCCATCATTTTAAGAAATTTATGTAGGTATGTAGATACCAAAATTGAGCACTAAAAATGCGCTTTGTGGAAATGTATTAATCGCTTTCTGAGATAGTATATAATATTACCTTGTGAGTAGCGACTTTGCCTTGCCCTTCTTATTTCGATCACTAAATAAAATATAATTTCAGAGTATGATGCAGAAATATACATGCAATGCAGGCGAAATGAAGAACGGGATCAAACTGGAAAAAATCAGTCTACTATTTATAAAAAAAAGTTTATAATTTTATCTAAAGACCTAAACTTAAAATGCCCTAATTTAGAGTTCATCGTGAACGTCATCATCCTCGCTGTCTTTGTTTTCGAATGTATTGTCATTTTCCTCATCGTTTCCAGTATCGGCAGCAATATCCTCATCATCCTCATCCAACTCGATTTGTTCATCTAATGGTACTCCCAGAGATTGGCGCATCATTTTTTCGATGGTGTCTGCAAAATCCGATGTCTCTTGCAGCATAAAGCCTGAACGCAAAGTGGCCGTGCGGAACATCATTACAGCCATGTCCTTCGCTGTATTGTCGGCCTCATCAGCTTCGACGCGGCGCAGGAGTTCACGAATAAGTGGATGACGGGGATTTATTTCTAATGTTTTTTTCTGATTCAAGTAGTAGCTACGCTGTGGATCATCTGACTTTTGGTGTGCATTGGACAAAGCCAATCTTTCCATGTTACCAGTCCAACCGAACATTCCAGCAACGAGTGCACATGGTGAGTTACTAAGGCGCTCTGAAACTTGTGCCTTCAAAATTTTATCCTTAAGTGCCACTTCATTCAACCATTTCACGAGTGGTTCAAATGTTGATTTAAGTTCTTCAAATCTGGATTTGCTCTTCTCGGACTCGTTTAATTTAAATCCTTCCTTGGCAACATTTTGGAATTTCTTACCATCGAATTCAGGAAGAGCAGAAATGCAGTATTCATCAACAGCCTCAACAAGGTAAAGGACTTCATAGCCCTTGCTTAACAGGCGTTCGACAAAAGGTGATTTTTCGACTTCGGCACGGTTAGCACCTGCAATAAAGAATATATGTTCTTGTTTGGCCTTCATACGTTCAACATATTCCGCCAGCGATGTGAGATCTTTTCCATTGGATGATTGGAATCGCAAAAGTTTGGCGAGCCGAGAACGATTACTGGGGTCTTCCATGATACCGAGTTTAATGCTAGAAATTGGAAGAAAATGTATGAAGACTACTTTTCAAAAAAGAATACAGTATCTAAAATTAACATTTGCTAGATTTATTTTAGTATCTTCTTTACTTACTTGGTTGAGTATTCTTTCCAGAGTTTGCTGTAGTTGTCCTTATCGATCTTTTTAATCATGTCTAGAACCTTGCGAACCAACTTCTTCTTTATAACCTTAATTAATTTATGCTGCTGAAGTGTTTCACGCGAAACGTTCAAAGGCAGATCGTCGGAATCAACAACACCACGAATGAAGTTCAAGTAATTGGGCATCATATCATTAAATTCGTCGGTTATAAAAACACGACGTACATATAATTTTATATTATCAGCTTTGGTGCCATAACGATTGAAAGATTCTGATGGCTGTACTTTTGGAATGTATAATAAGCTCTTGAAAGTAACTTCTCCTTCAGCAACAAAATGCGTGTGTGTTAGAGGTTCGCTGCTGTCTTTGGTAAGTGTTTTATAAAACTCTGTGTATTCATCCTCAGTGACATCGGCTGGTTTTCGAGTCCAAATAGGTTTACTGTCGTTGATTAGTTGCCAGTCCCAAACAGTCTTGGATACTTTCTTTGTCTTAGGCTTGTCGGCGTTTTCGGATTCTTCCTCCACCTTAGCGTCATCATCGCTATCTTCTAAATTGTCTTCAGCCTTCTCCGGCTCCTCAGTTGTGGAATCGTCTTCGATTGGCACATCTTCCTCAAGAGTTTTACTTGACCACATTAAAATCGGAAAATTTATGAATTGAGAATATTTTCGGATTAATTCGCGTACAGTATCCTCCTCAAGGAAATCTTGGGCTTCCTCCTTCAAATGCAACGAAATAATAGAACCTCGTTTAAGGGTGTCACCACGAGGGTCTTCAACAATACTGAAACTGTTAGCATCCGATTCCCAAATGTATTGTTTATCAGCGTTATGCTTTGTAGTAACGACTACACGATCGGCAACCAAGAAAGCAGAGTAGAAACCAACACCAAATTGTCCAATCATGTCATTGAGGTCTTGGCCAGATTCTGTTTTCGTGGTATCTTGCATTTTAGATAAGAAATCGGCAGTGCCCGATTTAGCGATTGTACCTAAATTGTTGATCAGGTCTTGATGAGTCATACCAATACCAGAATCCATAATATGTAAAATTTTATTTTCTTTATCAGCCTTAATGCGTATATTCAATTCTGGATTAGTATCCAATTCACCCTTGTTCGTGAGGGCAAGTAAGCGTATTTTATCGATAGCATCAGAGGCATTGGAAATCAATTCTCGCAAGAATATTTCCTTGTTTCGGTACAGTGAGTTTATAATGAGTTTCATCATGCGATTTACCTCCGTCTGGAATGTAAATTTTTCCGCCTATGCAACATAGAAAATTTGGGAAAATTAATCAATAATTATTCGCTTTTTTAAATCAAAACGTATTTGTTGAAAACTTTTTCCCTAGAACTAACCTCACATCCCAAATGCCGGACGTGGCAAATAATACTTATTCGTAACCCAAAAACAAAAGTACCAATAGAACCAAATACTTCATACATAATAAGCAAAAATCAAATATCTAAGCTTTACACACCTTCTCTCGGACCTCCTTCATCTGTGCAACACTCAAACCATCCAACTTTATGGCCTCTTCCTCACGCTTGAGAGCTTCAGCATCTGAACGAAAATTTAATTAAAATTCAATTTTTATAAAAATACAAATTATAAATGCAATCTCCGGATATTTTAGCAGTGACGTGTGCAAATCGTCGCGACCAGAACTATTGGGCGATATCAACTTATTTATATTGATAGCAAGTGAAGGGTTATATCTTCTACGACGTATCTACATACGTATACAAATGTGATTTGCCTTACCTGTTCTGGAACCTTCCTTGAAAGAACCTAAATCCAAATCAATAGTTTCTACATCTTCTGTGCTTTCATCTGCTACAATCTCTCCTACACCTATAAACAAAATGTGATATTTTTGGTAATATTAGATACTATTCGACTTATAATAGAAAGATTTGCGTTTTGCCGGTATATGCGGTTGAAGCAAAAGTAGGCAAACTAACCTGCTAAAAGAAGCAAGGCCAACAACAATAAATACTTCATTTTATAGTGCAGTAATCCACTTGAAGAATTTTTTGTTATTTTATGATGCGGTTAATACAATTAATAGACAACTTCCAAAAATTGCAGAACTCCTTTTATTACTAGATATTCGCGACAATGATTGAAACAAATTGAAACAGTTCCAACTAACACTCAACTGCAAAATAATACACAATGTACGGTGGTTAATATTCATCCAACTGTTCTCTCAGACATGTTTCTTTGCTACGAACAGGGTTGCATTGAATGGTTTACACAGATTCGTCTAATATTTAAATACCCTTTACCTTATTTCGTTTGCCTTGAGACTAATTTCTTTCATTATTTAAGGCAATTCCATTTTATTAGATCATTCAAGCATACTTAATACATTGCTTAATTTCGATATATGCAGTCTTAAAACTACAAATGGTAATATATTTTTTTGATGTCATAGTTACACATAACACTTTTACAATAAAGAGAGCCACTACAAATGTCGTGCAATGATTGGTCCAAATCATATAAATATTTAGTACAGCTCATAACCAAATCTGTTATCGATAATTATCTGATTATGAGGTTTGGGTTTCTCTATAAATTCATAAATTTATTACACTGTGCCAATTGGACAAAACTTACCAAAATAAAAAAGGGCGTATTAAGAGATAAAGTAAAAAAAAAATTAATGTTCAGTAACATTCTCTGGTAAAACGTTTGAAATACTTAGACGCCCACAAAAATGTTAATTGCTTTTTTGGTATAAGTTTTCCTTTGAACCGCTAAAGCGACATTGTAATGTTTTACCATGCTACGAAAATGTTTTTCAATGAATTAAGTTTTAACAAGAATGACACAAATGAATGCTTGACCAAGTCCAAACATTAAACTTAGTATAAAGGTATGAATATGCAATGGGGTTTTGGAAACCTTTTGCATGACAGTTATTCCATAACACTGTTACCCATCCAACATACTTACGTACACAGAAAAAAAGAATGAATGAAAATGAAAAACTTGGTGGATACTTTTAGTTCATATAATTACGTTTTATTTTCATATCTCGTATTTATATGCATTGAATTGAATTAAATTAAATATTTATCAGTTACTAATAGCTAATTAGGGACTCCATCTGCGTGTCCTTTGTCGTTTGTCTGTTGCATTAATTATTAAAGATACATTTAGTTGTTTTCTTTTTGATGTTTTTATGTTTCAGTTTTTAAGGTATTATATATTTATAATTTTTGTTTTTATGTTTCTTATGAAATATGTATTTAGATATATTACATTTCTAGCGCATTCTAAATAAATTTATTTCGTAATTAAATAGTTTACATATAACTACTTATAGTAAGTTTTGTTTTAATTAAAATTAATAAATGTTAAGCTTTATTCCACATTTGTATATTTATACACATACATATATGCATATATGTATTTTCTTATATATTTAAATGTAAGATTTTGTATTTATTTTACTTGGCTCTATCAAATATTTTATTTTTATTGCATTAATAATTATTTTGCATTTTATACGTGGTTTTTGTTATTAAAAAACGAGCTTGGATTTATGCATTAAAATCATTGACAACGAAAAAAATATGCCCTTTATACATATGTATATAAAACATTCCATATTTCTTACTTAACATTTTCAAGTAAACAATATATAAAGATAACTTTAATCATAATTATGTTCTTAAATTTTGTTATTTATATAAACCTTGTTTCTGGAGCAATTGATTTTTTGATTGATCTTTAATCTCTAGCATTTGGTTCCAATTTTTCAGTATGTATTCGAGCAAAAGAAAATTTATAAGCAAAATAATGTATTAACACCATATTAGGCTTTTATAGGGAAATTATAATTTTAAATGCAGATGTCAAAAATACATACCTACTTTCTTTTAGCACACAAACTTTATTATAAACAATCACTGTGTTACTTTCGAAGCATTATTATCAAAAGCCCGTTTGTATTTCATTCTTCCGTTTGTGTGCATTAATTACAATATATACATATTTATAATTTTAATAAAGCTGTACGAAATATACGTATTTCAGAGATATTCAATAAAATTTCAAACGACAAAATTATCTTTTTTTTAACCATTATGTTAATTTCATTAAATGAGGAAAGCGAGCAACGTGCTTGTTAAAATGGTTCCAAAGTTTTGTAAAAACTCTTGTTCAAAGTTAAAATATATTGACATATTTATAAAATTGGATTACAATTGGCTTGTATGATTCTAAAGCAATCGTATCTTACAATATTCAACATATTTCACTTCCATGTAACAAAAGGAGCTTTTAAAGCTCCGTTTAATAATTTCAGCAGAAATTAAAAGAAAAAATAAATTTTTAATTCTCAAAATAAGGTATTTTTTCAAATATTTTCTGTTTTTAATATAAAAAAATTAATAGGTATGAAACTTAAAGAATGATTATATATAAATATACATACAATGCAAAACTATTTGTGTACGTGTATATTTTGGGTGGATGAGTTCAGCTACAGCAAATGTCGTTTATAGATTTATTTCTTCACAGCTACATCTATTAATTTTTCAATCATATATAAGTATATAGAGTAGTATTCATCACATTTAGCACGAATTACAAATTTTATATGCAGCATCGAATTTCACAAAGTTGGTCCATAGTATGCTCATCCAATGGTTTTTGTGTTATAATTATTGTTAGTGTTAGTTACATACATCGTTTCATTTTGCTATTTTTAAGAATACCCCCTAGTTATTTGTTTTACTACTTCAATTGTGTACGTTTCATTTTGTCGAATGCCCCACTTAATTTTTGTTAATGTTTCTTCCTTAATTTCAGATTTGCAAACAATGTCTAAAGGAGCAGTTTCGATTTAGGAATATAAACTTAAATATTAAAGGTATCTTATTATATATTTAAGCATTTATGTATATATGCAATATACATTCTGGTATATATATATATAAAGTGTGTGGATGTGCACTTACATCGAATACAAACAATATGTATTCAGATTCTCGTTTATTTACGGATTAATTGAATGTATTTAGTTGTTGTTTTGCGCCGATGCGTTTGTTGCGCTAACTAATCAGTTTACTGCAGTTCTTTTTATAAATAAGTTGGCATTACTAATGCTTACGTTTGTAATTTTTATAATAATTATTTTTCTTTGATTGATGTAAAATAATATCGCTGAAAGTGTTCGTTATAAATGTGGGATGGGGATTTTTTAAGATCACAAGTAATCTGCTTGCCACTTTTTTGCTGTCATTGTTTATTGGTCGTTTCTTATTTTTATCGCAGAACTGCGATGTCTACAACGACTGTCATTACTCAGTGAGTAAAGTGAATAAACGAATTTCAAAATCTAAAACTGCTAAAACTAGATGAAGACGACCTGACCTATGCTCTATTAACTAGTTTCAATTATGTATATATATATATATATATATATATGTATATAAGTATGTAGCTGAAATCTAAACAATAAAATATTATTTCGCGTTTCTCACGTCGTTGACAACGCTCGGTTGCACACATCCGACACCGCCGCCACCACCACCACCTGGACGCATGCGAATCGATGGACGTCGTTCGGGTGTATCGTAAGGAGGACGCGATGAGTTTGTGGCCGCCATTGAATCATCCATATTTAGACCGCCACCACCAGTGCCACTGCCCACAACCATTTGGGAAGTGCCGCCACCTCCGACCATTGCCCCGCTACTACTGACCAATGTCTGTGCTCCACCGCCCGAATTCATGATTTGTGCACTACCTATGGCAGCGACACCACTAGCTATCTGTTTTTGATTGTGTTGATGTTGTTGCTGCTGCTGTGTTGCAGACGCTTCTTGTCCCTGTTGGCATTCACCACCACCATCCTGATTCTGTTGTATGGCTTGTGGATTGCGAGGGCCTCCAAATTTAAGCAGGTTCCAGTCGAACACGTAGTCGTAAGTAAAGCCAAGACGATGGAATAAATTACGAAAGAGTTTTCTTAAATAACAGTAATCCGGCCGCTGTTCAAAGTGCATTTGTCGGCAAAAATTCAAATAATTTACAAATTCGCTGGGGAAACCTTTGCACAATGACAATATCGTCGTCGAAAGTTTCTTTTCCGAAATGCGTTCGTATTTTTGACGCTTGTTAGCAGCCTTCAAACCTTGCCATGGCAGTGCACCCAAATTGAAATACATCAGCACGTAACCAAGGGATTCTAAATCGTCACGGCGAGACTGTTCAATGCCCAAATGTGTATTGATCGACGCATAGCGGGCAGTGCCAGTGAGATTTTTATTTTCCCGGTATGGTATGTGTTTCAGTGAGCGGGCGTCGCGGAATTTTTTCGCTAGTCCAAAGTCAATTATATAAACAAGGTTGCCCTTCTTACCCAAACCCATGAGGAAGTTGTCCGGTTTTATATCTCGGTGTATGAAGTCACGAGAGTGTATGTAGTCTATGCGTGATATCATCTGATCGGCGAGTAATAGAACCGTTTTCAATGAGAAACGTCGGGAACAGAAATTAAATAGGTCCTCTAATGATGGACCTAACAACTCCATCACCATCACGTTGTAATCACCTTCCGAGCCACACCAGATAATACGAGGTATACCTATGCCGCCCTGCATGGTTTTATAAAATTTCGACTCGATGTGGAGTTGAGGATGTTTCGTACGAATGCATTCTAGTTTTATGGCAACTTCTTCGCCCGTATTGATTGTGGTTCCAAGATAAATATCTCCAAATGATCCTGAGCCAATTTTACGGCCCAAGCGATATTTATTTCCAACTCGCAATTCCATATTTTTACAAAACAATGATCGCTAAAGGCTATTTATTTCTCTTGTAACTGATGTGTGAAGTTATGGTTTTCGGCGCTGAAATAAAAAAATATATATAGTTAGTTATTGAGAGCTACACAAAGAATTTCGATTGATTAAACCTTTTTAACGTGGAATCAATGGTGCTATCAATTATGAATGACTTCTTCGAGCAGTGCGTCGTTTAGGTTTTCGGTTGCAGAGTTCATAAACTAAAAGGTAAGGAAATATTTGTTATTTACTGAAATTTAGCAAGAGAAAAGAAAAAAATTTAAATAAAATAAAAAAAATTTATATTAGCTCGTTCGAAAATTGAAATTGACATACGGTTTTTAAACTCAAACAGATATGCCTTTGAATGTGAATATATTTAAAGATATATTAATACACACACATTTCAAATTTCTCACAATACTGCTCTTTAAGCACTTAAATTTTGAAAATTTATTGTATTTAGTACATAGTTCGTTCCCTTAATATGAAAAAATGTTGTTTCTAAATTTCAAACTTTTTGAAATAAGTTTATATTGGTAGCACACTTAAAAAGAAAAAGCCATAAAGCATTTATGTCAGATTGTTATTAAAAAATTTAGTGAAACTACCTACCTTCTTCTACTTATTTTTTACGTTGGTCACAATATTGAAAATATATACACATATAAATCTTACCGCGTTGTATTTTTTGTTGCCTCTA